ATTGTTTTCTAACGCGACCCTTTTATTTATATTAGGTCTTAAAGTTTGTGCATAGATTAGGGCGTGGTCACATTGAGTGACGGCTCTGTCAAGTGCCTGCTGCGGCTAGCTTCTTGTCTCTCTGCTAGCTGCTCCGTGAAGCTAGCTACAGGGACTCTGCCTGCTCAGCTCATCCAGGAAACACAACTTGTAGCCGGCCGTAGTTGTTTGTTCTTCATGCTTATATATCGGACTATTGTGACTCGCTCTGCGGTTAAAACAGACGGTGCATGAATGCGGTAAGTGAAATTCGAGTGCTTTATTTATGTGTTAATGATTTTAATCGGCTACGTAATGAATGGTAAGGCTTGGGTTAGTTAGTGGCTAGTGGTAGCTACATCGGTGCTAACGATTGTAATCGTAGCCTCCAAGTTAAAATCATAGACTGTATATATAAAGGTAAACTAAATAGACAAGTGTTAAGTGGGATAATACTGTTGAACAAACGGCTTCTGTTTGAGGTTGATAAAATAAGGTTACATCCTTGTAACTTAGAGATATTTTATTATGTAGGTAGAACTGTATGCATCTAAGGTTAATTTAAATTGGCTATGCTCAAGTATGTGGACAAGCTAATGTCGAAGTAGTGTATGTGAAATCAACCTCACAATAAGATGTGTGTATATTACAATTATTAATGTCATATTTCAAGATGATTACTTAGATATTACAATATGGTTGGTTGAGCTGGAGTTCATTATTGAGCTTACACGTTAACGTCAGAGTCATCTGAAGAACGAACCCAAACCTTGTTGTTTTTATTAATGTCATTACCAAATGGTTATGAAATAAACAGCAAGCATTGGTAACACAACTTCCAAAGTTACAGTAAAATAAAAAGGACCCTGACTCGGACAATACACAATCCAACATGTTCAACAGAAGATAATCAGTTATATTGTTTGTACACATGGTACTTTACATATATATCTGTTTGTTTAAGGTGTCCAGGTGATGCAGACAGGCTGGACCAGAGAGTGAGAGACAGAACTGGACTCCTCACAGCAGTGAACTTCAGCTCAGGTACAAAGACTCTTTTTTCATACTGTACAAAGAATCAAGAAAGATATTGGTTTAAATGAATGAAGTATTGACTTGAATACACTGATATACATTCCATTAAACAATACTAAATACTAGATCACCTACACATCAGTGAAGTTGAGGGTTTTTTCCATGCAAAAAGTTACATTTAGATATTTAGCAATATGACTTTGTCAGCTTTCTAATGTAATGTATTGAAGGCAAAGATATTTAACACATAGTGAGAACTGCTACTATTTATCTCTCAATATTGTCTGTAAAAAACGTGGTAAAAGTGATTCTTTCAGTGAGACAACAGAGCAAGCTTCTACAGTTGCACTACGTTTTGATAACAGTTAAATATTATTTTGATAACATATATTTCAATGTTGATGAACTTCATACTGTTCATTCATAATCTGATTGTCTTTGTAGCTCATTGTTGAAATAAAAAAAAACATTACAATTACAAAATAATGATATCTACAGCCCCTAAACACACAAACACACCGCTTTCATAAATAACACACTTGTTCTGCAATAATATGTTTTATGTTTCCTGTCATTTTTGTTAGGAAAGGACATGCCTGAAAGACACGACATGTTCTCCTTCTCTGAGGGTCAAGAAGAACATCCAAGAGGAACATTAAAAGCTGATGTTATGAGATTTTAAGACCAGTACAGGACATTCACTAAGAAACTACTTTTATTGTGAAAACAGTCAGCTGATCGAATGCAGCTATTTCCACATCTACACTCCATCAGCTGATTATTTCTATTTGCCTCACTTTATGAGCTTCACAACATGTACCTTGTTTTGCAACGTCATAAATAAATGGGGCCAATCTTCAGTCAGATGTGAATGTGTAATCTAACATTTTCAGTAAGAATAATGGACAAAAGGAGAGCAAATACAAATACAATTTATTGAAATGTGAACCAAAAGCACATATGGACAGAAGGTGTAAACCTATTAAATGTATAAGTAAACACATTTAGTCAAATAAAGTGACAGACTAGGCCTGTGCGGTTGGTATCAGCTTTGCCCAGCATGGGCTCCTTCATCAGGCCTGGTCCTGGTCCTCCTCGCTGAGGAAAGACCCTCAGTCCTCTCCAAACCAACAGACAGGACGTCCATCACACGGAGGTTTCTCCCTGAAGTCTCTGCAGCTCTCTGGACACCAGGCTGTCTCAATCCGTCCACACTGAATATGAGAGGGGGAAAATGAAAATAATAAATGCTTTAGACAATAAGAAACATAAAGTTGACTGTTGAGTTGCTCAGTTTTTTTAGATTGTCAATACTATTACTGTATAACTAATATCTCAGGTTAAGAGGCACATTCAAATAAAGATTGGTCTTTAAATACATTTTATCTTTTGAATTGTTTGTCTAAAGTCAATGATCTAGAACTGGTACTTAGTTTTAATGATACAGTCTGGTTATTATGCTGTTTGGAGGAGGCCTCACAGGTAAGAGCACTAACTAGCTACCATCACATGTACCTTAGCTTGACTTAAATGTATTAAACGTATAATTAAGTGATATCAAAATATAAATAACTAATGTCATGCAAACATATTAATATTTGCTTGATTCCAGTGTTGAATTTAGCACAATTGCATACAAACGTTAAGGGGTTTTAAGATTCTTTAGTATTATGCTAAAAACTCAATAACTTAGATTATTATTTATAGTTTCATGTCCGCTTACCTTAGAAACGTAAATGTTAGCTTAGCTTGGTAGCTTCAGCTAGCTCTGGAACTTCCAGCTCGGTGGCAGCAGGTCCCGCCTCGGCTCCGCCTCTTTGCCCTTATTTGGAGAAGGCGGGAGTTGAACTCTAACGTTACTGTCGAGCCGTTAGTGGCCGACTCCGCCTACTAAGGGCTTCACGGCAACTCTGCAGAATCCTATGGGTGACGTCACGGACCCTACGTCCATTTATATATACAGTCTATGGTTGTACCCATAGATATATATAAACACGTGTTTATATATATATCTATGGTTGTACCTACACTTCCAACAGCGTAACCTGAGACCAGGGCCGGCCCGTCGCACTGGCGTTATAGATGTTCGCCTAGGGCGCCAGATCTGTGGAGGCATTGCGCTGACAGCTCTGGGAGGAAAAAAAATGTTTTGACCGTTGGTGCTCATCCTAATGTTCGGCCTTGATGTAACAACATTCATAATTAAGTAAATGTAACACCCTTTTCACCCCGGTTACACTTTTCATTTGCCCTGTACGATGGGCGCTGTAAGTGATGAAAATGGGGGATGTTGGCTTATCTGGCAACCGCAGCTCACAGCCAAAGTGCGAGTGAGCGTGGGAGTGAGCGAGGGAGTGAGCGAGGGAGAAAGGGAGGGTGCACCGGTACGCGCTGTTGTTATTAGCATCTGGTGCTAGCTGCTCTAACGGAAGAAGAAGATGTTTCTACAATGATGTGGAGGGAGAGTCCTCTCCAGTCAGACTGAGAGGCTCAGTGAGGTAAAGGACTGAGTGTTTAGATAGTTCACTTTACTCTAAGTTACCAATTTACACACGGCATCTATTGCACGTCTGTCCGTCCTGGGAGAGGGATCCCTCCTCTGTTGCTCTCCCTGAGGTTTCTCCCATGTTCCCTTTAAACTGTGGGTTTTCTCCGGAAGTGTTTCCTTGTACGATGTGAGGGTCTAAGGACAGAGGGTCTAAGGACAGAGGGTGTCGTATTGTCATACTGATATTCTGTACACACTGTGAAGTCCACTGAGACAAATGTAACATTTGTGATATTGGGCTATATAATTAAACATTGATTGATTGATTAAATCTATGGAAAAATAGCAACACATGTATTACAAGCACTGATTTACAGATATTACAATCCCATGATCAAAATAACCCACTGAATGTAATGTAATCAGCAGGTGTATTTGATTCTAAATTGCAGAAAATATTTAGCCTCCTGTGTTTTATTCGTGCCTCTCACGTTTCTAATTTGAAAAAAAGTCACTTTATTTCTGAGAGGGCCCTCATTTACGTTTTAAATCAGGTGACATTAACTCCAGCTGTCAATTAAAAGTGACGCTATAGGGTATTTAAAATTATACTAAGTACAGTAACTGCTGTATACAACCAATTTCATACAGAGGCCTGTTTAGTAAATGATACAATACATTTCAACACAAAAGGTAACCTAGCTTTTTATTGGTTGTTAGTAACCATGCCAGACCTTTGGCACACACACAATTAAACTGTAAAAGCATAAAACAACCCTAGAAATGGACACTTCAAGTTAGCCAAAGCTAATTGTATGTTCAAGGTTCAAGATTCAAGGCTTTTCTTTGATATACAAACATACGGTGTAGTTGTATGTCAATGAAAATCTGAGTTCATAGGCTCTGAAAAGTGAAAGACTGAAAAAAAATAGTGGAAGACGTAAATGCAAAAAAAATTGTGAAATAGTGAAAAAAAAGAGTCTATATACAAGTGATTGGAATATGATATATTAGATAACTAATGTGTAAGCTGCAGCCAGATGAATGTTATGGATGTTCTTTCGAAGTGCAGGTGTTTAACGGTCTTACTAGATGCTTAAGTACAATTTTGAGATACTTGTACTTCACTTGAGTATTTGTTGCTACTTTGTACTTCTACTCCACTACAATTCAGAGGTAAATGGTGTACTTTTACTTCACTATATTTAATATTTTACTTTACAGATCTGGATGAATGATGTGAAATCTAATCAAGTGTTAAATCAGACTTTAGTACTTCTCCTACTTCTCCAAGTACTTATATTCGAGTAATGGATCTATGTACTCCCCCCCTCCACTGCACTCTGTTTGACAGCTAGATAATCGATGGCACAGTAAATCAGATTTAATTAAACAAACATTAAAGTCGCCTCAAGAGAAGGGACTGAAACACGATGATGATCTGGATCTGTTTACTCACCGTAAAATGTAACTGTAAAGTCAACACGGTGTCGCTTCAGACCCGCAGCGTGGCTCGATTATTGGCTGCAAACTGACCTTTGGAGCTGCTTCCAGGTGTGTTTGATCTTTGGTCCAGAACATAATGGTGAACTTTTACAAAGACAGCCTGTTCTTAAGGTTTGATTTAGTTCATGAAGAGTCTAAAGTTCAGTAGGACGGAGTGGAGGTTTAATCTCCTCCCACTACCACTACACCGAGAACGACACCAGGTGGCGCCATCGAGTCAACAAAGGGTTTTTTAAAATCTTTTTTTGAGCTTTATTGGAAAAGGGTATTTACAAACATGGCTTTCAGACTGTTCAACGAAAAAACAAAATCGATAAGGGGACAGGTGCACAAACACGGAAGAGGATTAGAGCCACATATTGGGATGTAACCAAAACTTAAAAATTAAAATTCTGACTTTAATCTCATAATTCTGGGTTTAAAGTCAGAACTCAAACTGCTATTTAACTTTTGGTAAAAAGAAATATCATGTGGCCCTCAATGCTCTTACAGAAGACAATATTCAAGACAAAAAAGTAATAACATTAAGTGAGGTATACATACAACAAAGCGATGTGTTTCATTAACCTGAAAATTAGCATTATCTATAATAAACAAACAGAACTAATAATAACCAAACAAAAAATGTGTCCAATCGGCACTTCTCTTGCCCCGCTTTTACTCTAGCTTTCGTATTTGAATGATCTTTGTACATGGTTTAAAACTATTGTAATGAAAGTGATTCAACAACAGAGATAATCTGAGGACTACCAGTATGTCTGTGAAGTAACGAGCATTTTGTTAATTGCCGTAAATTTTATATCCAACACTTTATTGTTTGTTGACCTAAAATAGCTGATCAGGTACACACATTGCGTGGTGGAGGGTTGAGTTTCTTTCTCATATGGTTCAAATATTATTATGTAGTACAGTATGGAAGCAAACAAGAGACAGAAGTATTCGAATTGTATTAGACACCGAATTTATAGCATTGAAAATAATTACTTTGAAAATCATGTATCTGAATGTTTTTGCTCCGAATTTACCTATGTGAAATAAAAATGTAAAAATTCAAGTGAAAAAAATTCGAATGTTCAAATTCAGATCCCAAAAATTCGACGTCAAAAAATTCGATGTCAAAAAATTCGGTGTATAAAATTCGATGTCAAAAATTGCGATGCAGCATCATCCGGGCTACTCAGACAGGATAAGCAATCGAGCCCTAATGCAATCAAACTGACTTGGCCTATCAGAGCACGGCTTTGTCAGTCATGTGATCACAACAACCCGGGAGAAAAATGACGGAGAACAGCGGGGCTCGCCGCTCGGGTAAGTAGTCAGTTTGTGCTCTTTATCTTATAAGCAGTGAGGGCTCGACAGCATTTGTATCTTACATTAGCTAAATGAGTGAAGTAGCCTTGTGCCTTGCTGTTAGCAAGCTCCGTAGTTATCATTAATTGAAGTGAATCACAACGTTACCGTGTCCTTTTGTGTGTGTGTGTGGGGGGGGGGGGACGGTTTGCAAAGTAACGTAACGATCACTTCGGTTAGATAAGTCAAGTAGACCATGCTACACTATACGAAATACTCTCTTACAAAAGCCCTGCATTTAAACATGTTAATGTTACTTTAGTAAAAGTATGCTAGTATAATTAGCAACAAGTGTTGTTAGAGTATTTAAAGTAGACACAAGTTATTCTATTATATTATATCATTTGATTTATTGTTATTACCGATGCACGAGTTGACTTAACTGTTGTAGTTGGAGCTCATTTGAACAATGAGCTAACTAATTATTACTTTCATAATGGTGTAATGTGCTGACTATTTTCTACATTAATAGATGAAGGTCTGGTTTGTTCAAAGTCTCAAACTAGTAGGACCAGAGCCCGAGAGACTCTAGGGCTCTGAGTAGGACATGCTGTCATAATTACCCAGAGTCCGAAGTGACACCTTTACAATGTTAAAGCTGTTGGATAAATGTAGTGACGTAAAAACTAAAGTATTCAAGATAGTGTAGTGGAAAAGAGATAATGTTTTTTTTTTTTTAAATGTTACCAAAACAAAATCTCTTGTTTTGGACTGACAGCAATGATTCAAGAAATAGTAGATAAATAAATACACACACATCAATGTGTTGTGGATGGAACACAACAAATGGTGTTCTTACCTGTGATGCCTCCTCCACACATTATAACCAGACTGTATCATTCAAACTATAAGTAACAGTTCTAGCTACTTGACTTCAGACAAACAATTCAAAAGACAAAATCAACACAATGTATTGAAAGACCAATCTTTATTTATCTCCTTTTGTTTGTATTATTAAACCCTGTCAATCTAAAAAACTGAGCAACTCAACAGTTAACTTTATATTTCTTATTGTCCAAAGCATCTATTACACTATTTGTTCCCCTCTCATATTCACAGGATGGATGATTAGAGACTTTGGGGGAGACCTCAGCTTTATGAACGTCCTGTCTGTTGCTTTGGCCGGAGAGGGCTGAGGGTCTTTCCCTGCGAGGAATCCTCCTCGCAGGGAAAGACCCTGCAGGCCTGAGGGAGGAGGACCAGACCTGATGGAGGAGGACCTGCACCAGCTGCACCTACAGAACTTAGCCCATGCTGGGCATAGCTGTTACCACCTGCACAGGCCTAGCCTGTCAATTAACAGATTAACATTTAGTGTAACTTATGTATATTATTTCGTTTTTATTTAAAAAAAATGGTGATGGTTCATGCTTGATAACTTTTAGTTCACATTTCAATAAATTGTATTTGCACTCCTTTTGTCCGTTATTCTTACTGAAAATGTTAAATTACACATTCACATCTGACTGAAGATTGGTACCATTTATTTATGACGTTCCAAACTCGGCGGCACAAGTGATGTGAAGCTCATAAAGTGAGGCAAATGCATTTGATCAGCTGACTTTTTTTTTGCCAAACTTTATAGGCCTGACAGTAATCACACTGTCTCTGTGCAACGTAAAACACAAAACAACACAAATGAAGTTCCTGTTAGACTACAAAACTAGTCAGTGTGCAGGTCTTTGTGTTACAATACAAGTGTCTCTTAGTGAATGTCCTGTACTGCTCTTAAATCTCATCACATCAGCTTTTCCTTTCCCTCTTGGATGTTCTTCTGGACCCTCAGAGAAAGAGAACATGGTGAAGCAGTCCTGTCTCTCAGGCGTGTCCTTTCCTAACAGAAATATCAAGAAACATATTATTGCAGAGCAAGTGTGTTATTTAAGAAAGAGGTGTGTTTGTTTGTTCATAAATATAATGATTTTTTTATTTGAATGTGTTTTTTAAATCCAACAGTGTACTGCAAAGATAATCAGATTATGAATAAACCGTTCTAAATTCATCAACATTGAATTAAATGTATTATTAAAATAATATTTAACTGTTATCAAAACTTAGTGCAACTGTAGAAGCTTGCTCTGTCCGGTTGTCTCACTGAAAGACAAAGGGTCGCAGCTCTCACTATGTGATGTTGCTTGGTAAAATGTAAATGTAACCTTTTGCTAAGAAAGTCCACTCAACATCACTGATGTGTAGGTGATCTAGTATTCACTCAGTCATGTTTAATGGCATGTCTATCAGTGTATTGGAGTCATTACTTTATGCATTCTTTGTAAAGCATGAAAAAGGTGTACCTTGGAATCCGTGCTGAAGTTCTCTGCTGCTAGGAGTCCAGATCTGTCTCTCCTCCTCTGGTCCAGGTCTGTCTCTCCTCCTCTGGTCCAGGTCTGTCTCTCCTCCTCTGGTCCAGATCTGTCTCTCCTCCTCTGGTCCAGGTCTGTCTCTCCTCCTCTGGTCCAGGTCCGTCTCTCCTCCTCTGGTCCAGATCTGTCTCTCCTCCTCTGGTTCAGGTCTGTCTCTCCTCCTCTGGTCCAGGTCTGTCTCTCCTCCTCTGGTCCAGGTCTGTCTCTCCTCCTCTGGTCCAGGTCTGTCTCTCCTCCTCTGGTCCAGGTCTGTCTCTCCTCCTCTGGTCCAGGTCTGTCTCTCCTCCTCTGGTCCAGGTCTGTTTCTCCTCCTCTGGTCCAGATCTGTCTCTCCTCCTCTGGTCCAGGTCTGTCTCTCCTCCTCTGGTCCAGGTCTGTCTCTCCTCCTCTGGTCCAGATCTGTCTCTCCTCCTCTGGTCCAGGTCTGTCTCTCCTCCTCTGGTCCAGGTCTGTCTCTCCTCCTCTGGCCCAGCCTGTCTGGATCACCTTAAGGAGACTTTGAACAAACAGATGTAAAGTTACATGCATGGGTTACAGACTTCTTTCCATGCAAACAACTTTTTATCTTCTTTTAAAAACAGGTCATAATCTTATTGTTATACTTAAGAAATGGCTGGATATCACAGTCCTTATACTGTATCAGTTTGATTGAGTATTATTGTGTAGGTCCTTTTTATTTTACTGTTACTTTGGATGAGGTTTTCATGAGTCAGTCAAATTAATTTGTTTTCAAATGCCATATTCATATGCATCACACACGTAAGGGTAAGACACAAACCTATTGAACAAATACAATGCAATGGATAAGCTTCATTTCCACTGAAGTCACAGAAAACGTCATATATCATATTTAAACAAATCATTTCCTTGTCACTAAAGCATTGACTACGCTATTCATCGTCCTTAAATGCAGGCATTAAGTTACATGTTCTGTTCTACAGCCACGATGAGGCTGTTTCTCAAGTGTGATGATAATACAATTAAAAGAGGCATTGGTAATAATATTAAAAACAACAATGTTTGGGTCGTTCGTCGGATAGGCGGTTAGCTGCAATAAATAACTCCAGTTCAACAAACCATATTACAATATCTAAGGGAGCGTTATTATCTTGAAACGTGACGTTCATATTTTAAAGATACACACATTTCATTGTGAGGTTGATTTAATATACACTAAGCGTCTCTTCAACAATACGTTGACGTTAGCTAGTCTATTTTATGCTATAGTAGAGCATAGCGAATTTAAATGAACCTTAACAATGCATACAGTAACCTAAATAGCAAACTAACTATCTAACGTACAAGGATGACCTTATTTTAGCAACCTCGCACAGAAGCCTTTTGGTAGACAGTAGCATCCCACTTAATGTTTTACACTCTTGGATGCTACGCATAGCATCGTTAGCACAGATGGAGCTACGATTGCTCAAATGCTACCCCAACTCTAAACATTCATTAACGTTAGCTTAATAAAAACACCAGTAACATAACATAAAGTACGCAGGGTTGACTTACCGAAGAAACTGCATTCATGGACGGTCTGTTTCAACCGCAGATAAATCCTATATTTGCAGGACGAATAGTCCACCAGGAGCCAACACTACAAACACGGCCGAGTTCAAGTAGTGTTCTCCTCATGAGCTGAGCCGCTGTAGCATCACGGAGCTAACGGAGCTAGCAGAGAGGAGCTAGGAGCAGCAGTCCCGTTGTCATGAAGGGGGAATCTAACTATATACAGAATATGTTTTTGTAGATCCAGGCTAGAAACATGTTCATTTTCTGATGTTAAGTTGGACATTTTAACATAGGGTCTACGGGAATTGCTCCCATCTGCATCCATCGCCTACAGTTTGCAGCATTGGGCTTCACCGCACTGTCCCGGGGTTTGCCGCTTGGCTCTGATAGGCCAGAAGTCGGTTTGATTGCATTAGGGCTCGATTGCTTATCCTGTCTGAGTAGCCCGGATGAGGCTGCATCGCAATTTTTGACATCGAATTTTAAACACCGAAATATTTGACGTCGAATTTTTTTCACTTGAATTTTTGGGATCTGAATTTGAACATTCGAATTTTTTTAACTTGAATTTTTACATTTTTATTTCACATAGATAAATTCGGAGCAAAAAAAATTCAGATTCATGATTTTCAAAGTAATTATTTTCAATGCTATAAATTCGGTGTCTAATAAAATTCAAATACTTCTGTCTCTTGTTTGCTTCCATAGTACAGTATCTTATGTGCATCTTACCTCATCCACAGTAAAGCTCTTCTTCCTGGTGATTGATTGGCACTAACAAGTGAAAAGCGGAAAATCAATTAGTAAGACAAAGTGAATATATCTGAATAATACATTGTAAACACCAGAACTGACTAAATATTAAATAATAAAACAGACCAGATGAAGTACGTATGAATGAATATACGATGCTGAGGGAAATGAAAGAGTCTCCAGACAGCAAGCTTGTGCCCTCTGACCTTTGACCTATGGAGAGAATGGAGAGGGGGGAGGCATCTCACCCAACTGAGCGCACAACAACAATGTGCCGTCGGCTGGTTGTCTGTCATCCATCTGTCCCTGGGGGCCCCTTGGCTTTTTAAGGGGCCAACATAATGTAACATGCACCGAGGTTCATCTGGTTCTTCTGGTTCCTTCCTTTGGTTCCTCTGATTCCTTCCTCTGGTTCTTCTGGTTTCTATGACTCTTCTGGTTCCTCTGATTCCTTCCTCTGGTTCTTCTGGTTTCTATGACTCTTCTGGTTCCTCTGGTTCCTTCCTTTGGTTCCTTCCTCTGGTTCCTCTGATTCCTTCCTCTGGTTCTTCTGGTTTCTATGATTCTTCTGGTTCTTCTGGTTCCTCTGGTTCCTTCCTTTGGTTCCTTCCTCTGGTTCCTCTGATTTCTTCCTTTGGTTCTTTCCTCTGGTTCCTTCCTCTGATTCCTTCCTCTGGTTCATTTATCTGGTTCCTTCCTCTGGTTCCTCTGATTCCTTCCTCTGGTTCCTCTCTGGCTCCTCTGATTCCTTCCTCTGGTTTTTTCCTCTGGTTCCTTCCTCTGGTTCTTTCCTCTGGTCCCTTCCTCTGGTTCTTTCCTCTGGTTCCTCTCTGGTTATTCTGGTTCCTTCCTCTGGTTCCTTCCTCTGGTTCTTTCCTCTGGTCCCTTCCTCTGGTTCCTTCCTCTGGTTCTTTCCTCTGGTTCCTTCCTCTGGTCCCTTCCTCTGGTTCCTTCCTCTGGTTCCTTCCTCTGGTCCCTTCCTCTGGTTCCTTCCTCTGGTTCTTTCCTCTGGTTCCTTCCTCTGGTTCCTTCCTCTGGTTCTTTCCTCTGGTTCCTTCCTCTGGTTCCTTCCTCTGGTTCCTTCCTCTGGTTCCTTCCTCTGGTCCCTTCCTCTGGTTCTTTCCTCTGGTTCCTCTCTGGTTATTCTGGTTCCTTCCTCTGGTTCCTTCCTCTGGTTCTTTCCTCTGGTCCCTTCCTCTGGTTCCTTCCTCTGGTTCCTTCATCTGGTTCTTTCCTCTGGTTCCTTCCTCTGGTTCCTCTCTGGTTCCTTCCTCTGGTTCCTCTGATTCCTTCCTCTGGTTCCTCTGATTCCTTCCTCTGGTTCCTCTCTGGCTCCTCTGGTTCCTTCCTCTGGTTCCTTCCACTGGTTCCTTCCTCTGGTTCTTTCCTCTGGTTCCTTCCTCTGGTTCTTTCCTCTGGTCCCTTCCTCTGGTTCTTTCCTCTGGTTCCTTCCTCTGGTTCCTTCCTCTGGTTCTTTCCTCTGGTTCCTTCCTCTGGTTCTTTCCTCTGGTCCCTTCCTCTGGTTCTTTCCTCTGGTTCCTCTCTGGTTATTCTGGTTCCTTCCTCTGGTTCCTTCCTCTGGTTCCTTCCTCTGGTTCCTTCATATGGTTATTTCCTCTGGTTCCTTCCTCTGGTTCCTTCCTCTGGTTCCTCTCTGGTTCTTCCTGTTCCTTCCTCTGGTTCCTATCTGGTTCTTCTGGTTCTTTCCTCTGGTTCCTTCCTCTGGTTCCTCTCTGGTTCCTCTGGTTCTTTCCTCTGGTCCCTTCCTCTGGTTCGTCCCTCTGGTTCCTCCCTCTGGTTCCTCTGGTTCTTCTGGTTCCTCTGGTTTCTCTGGTTTAAGTCATTCATGCGGTACATCTGCTTGTCAGTTTGGTTTCGGTGCTCCAATACATTTCAAAAAGATCCAATTAGCCGTTTTAAGGCCTTTTAATGTTGTAACTCCATTATAAAACTATAATACGAAATGACTACATGGTATTTAGCTTAGTCTATTAGTGATATATCAGTAGCTGTCAGGAGGTAACAAGGACCCAAATGCAGAATAAAAAGAGTAGGGTATAAGAGCGTAAACAAAAAGCAAGCTTCATTAAATAAAAGCTGTTCCAAACAAACAGTACAACAATTGACGAGCAGGCACGATCAACAAAAGGGAAAGCTAGAGGACAGATGAGAGGAATCCAGAATACAAACAAACCAAGGAAACAACAACAACAAACTGACAGAGAAAACTCGGGAAGACCAGACTAAATACACACAAGACTAATCACAAGACACAGCAATCAGGCACAGGAGGGGAAACACAGGAGGTAAGACACAAGGAGAAAATGAACGTCAAAATAAAAACGGGAACTATTAATTCATATACCTTTTCAATCATTCCTCTCATATTTTGAGGCACTTATCCTTCATTTTACCTGCAAACGGTTGCCATGGGCCCGGTGAGAATATTAATAATGATGATATTACATTTTATCTGGAGGCGCCTTTCAAGACACACAAGGACACCTTAAAATGCGTAAATTAACAACATGAAATACAGACAGAAAAAGAGACTTTATTTTAAGAGGACATGACATGCTCATTTTCAGGTTTATATTTGTTGCTACATCCACAGGAGAGGACTCTTTAAAGTAGAGACACTATGTACTAGGGATGTGCATCTCCATCACTGAGGCCGATGGGAATCGCATCTCGATACGTTGCCACGATACGATACATTAACGATACATTTGAAACACGAAGCGATGTGATACGATTCACCCCTGTTCGATACGATGCGATTCAACACGATGCTAAATAATGATACTTCAGTATGGTACGACAGAGGATTTTAGTTGTATTCCTTATATGCAGCAAATCATAAATTAACAAAAAAGTGCTTTACATATTTGGTTCTCTCTACTAGTACTGCGCATCCCATCATGCTGTTATTTTTTTACCTTAAAAAAAAACCCACTTGGACCTGGTGTAGTAGTGTTCTCTGTCTCATAGTACAGCACAATGTTATAACACCTCACAGTTAAACAATTTAAGGATGCATTGCCTATGATTAACAATGAGCTGCTGACTGATGAGCTGAACACTCATTCATAGGCTAACTCACCAGTGAGCAGAAAGCAGTGGTTTCTATGGGAACAATAAAGAATACAAATAACCTTTCACAAACAGGTATTTCATAACTGCTTACAGTGAGGAAGACATGTACACTGTTATTGGCCGTCACAGGCTGCTGTAAAGTAAACACCTCTCTCTCTGACAGAACACCTCACTGAGTGATTTCACTCATGTCTAACTTTCAGGTTTCTCTTTTCAGCCGCAGGCCCCATGTCGCCTCTTTATGTGCGTCGCTAAGTTCCTCATACTACTTGTGTACTTTAAAGCGGTCGTTTACAATTTGCGAGCGATTTTTCAAGTTGACCGTCTTTCTTGAAAAATCCGAAGTGTTGCCAAACGTTTGATTTGTAGGTATTTTTCGGTGCGCTGTGTTTCTCTTTCTCCTCGACTTCCATGTGTGTTGATAACTGAGACTCTCGGCCTCCGTAGTGCGGAGCAAATATCAAAGGTCGTCTCTGCTGAGTGCTGATTGGATGAAGGGATTTCATATGAATGAATAGTTTTTTTACCGATGCAAAGACGCTACAATCGATGCATCGCGAGTTCAACCTAAACTGTAGCCGATGTGCACTCTTTCAACCGGTGCACTCGCATCTTCAACGTTTATGCCGGTGCACCGATGCGAATTGGTGAATCTTAACATCCCTACTACATACTGATATACACCTGAACATCAGCAGGAGAGGACTCTTTAAAGTAGAGACACTACATACTGATATACACCTGAACATCAGCAGGAGAGGACTCTTTAAAGTAGAGACACTACATACTGATATACACCTGAACATCAGCAGGAGAGGACTCTTTAAAGTAGAGACACTACATACTGATATACACCTGAACATCAGCAGGAGAGGACTCTTTAAAGTAGAGACACTACATACTGATATACACCTGAACATCAGCAGGAGAGGACTCTTTAAGGTAGAGACACTACATACTGATATACACCTGAACATCAGCAGGAGAGGACTCTTTAAAGTAGAGACACTACATACTGATATACACCTGAACATCAGCAGGAGAGGACTCTTTAAAGTAGAGACACTACATACTGATATACACCTGAACATCAGCAGGAGAGGACTCTTTAAGGTAGAGACACTACATACTGATATACACCTGAACATCAGCAGGAGAGGACTCTTTAAAGTAGAGACACTACATACTGATATACACCTGAACATCAGCAGGAGAGGACTCTTTAAAGTAGAGACACTACATACTGATATACACCTGAACATCAGCAGGAGAGGACTCTTTAAGGTAGAGACCAGGGGCGTACTGGGACACAAATTCAGCCCGGGACGTTCAGACGCACCGGCCCACACCGGGCCGCCGCCCACACATGTGGGCCACCCTTGTAGCCTACAGATAAATGATACATCTACTATGCTCATATACTGTATACTGTTATGGCTAGATTCCCCAGAGTCAAGCCATAACATAAAAGAGATGGACAACAGGAGTAAGGTGCAAAATGAAACCTTCCTTTAGTTAAGGTTTCTTAAAAATGTCCGTGTCATGTGTGAAGTGTGTCAAAGTGGATATGTAGGAGTCAGTACAATAGTATAGCAAATGGGTATAGTCAAAAATGGTTGCCTGTGCCTGGCTGTAAACAAAAAGAAGTGCCAATGCACATGCAGCTCAGACATTCAATCAATGCCATGTGGTCTAACCAACAAATGATTAATAGTCATTATGAGAGCACTTGTCCAGTATTAAATAACCAACTTTAAGGAATACAATATCATGCACAGTAATGTCAATCACTAAAATGAATGCAATAGTGAATTGGCCACACATCTGTGTCCTTATTATTGAATATTAATATTATTGAATATTAATATTATTTCATATAATTATTTAAAATTGTAATATTAATATGATATAATTTAACTTGGAATATCATGAGCATATAACTCTATCCTAATGCATCTAACTGTATGCAAAATATAATAGTCTGGCCAGCCCTGCAGCCCGTTCTAGCTTCTGATTGGCTCTCTAGGTTAGCATTCTAGCTTCTGACTGGCTGTCCAGGTTGTTAATCACACATCGCTAAACTTTTTTCTTGACGGTTTTCTCAGTCAACTAATGCTATTGCCAACAGTAACATAAATGAACACAGCCCTGCACCTGCTGTCATTATATGCCGGGTCTGTGGTTCATCATCTTCCTTTTCATTCTCCTCCTTATTACTGCGACTGGGAGCGGGAGCCCTTCTACTAAACAGCTCTGTTATTTTCGAAAATGTTCCAGCATCTTCGTGTAGCAATTTTCGTTTTTTCATTCTGGCTTTTTCAGCCCCACCCTTTCTTTTTTTACTGTTCTCCATCTTGTCTTTCTCAATTTCGCTAGCTAACTTACTGATCAATCATCAAACGAAGCTAGGGAGCTTGTCTGATGAGTGGACCTCGCGGGCCTCGCCCTCTTTCCAATTGGAAGAGACGACTCATCTCTCCCGGCCCAACCCCTTCAGTTCATCTATTAGCCTACTTTCGAAAACATAAGATTGACAAGTTTGACAACCTATCAATTGAATGCTTTTCCGATCGTATCCGATCACTAAATAAAGCGATCCACGTTCACTCGTATACATGGGCCAAGCATTAAGCCGATTACAATTTCACCTGTACCGAAGTGGGCCGATCGGAGTGGGGCAGTGGGCCGCGTCGAGTGGTCCGACCGGCCCACTTCGGTACCGGGCTACCGGCCCATCGGGATTCGTCCCGAACGTCCCGATGGCCAGTCCGCCCCTGGTAGAGACACTACATACTGATATACACCTGAACATCAGCAGGAGAGGACTCTTTAAAGTAGAGACACTACATACTGATATACACCTGAACATCAACAGGAGAGGACTCTTTAAAGTAGAGACACTACATACTGATATACACCTGAACATCAGCAGGAGAGGACTCTTTAAAGTAGAGACACTACATACTGATATACACCTGAACATCAGCAGGAGAGGACTCTTTAAAGTAGAGACACTACATACTGATATACACCTGAACATCAGCAGGAGAGGACTCTTTAAAGTAGAGACACTACATACTGATATACACCTGAACATCAGCAGGAGAGGACTCTTTAAAGTAGAGACACTACATACTGATATACACCTGAACATCAACAGGAGAGGACTCTTTAAAGTAGAGACACTACATACTGATATACACCTGAACATCAGCAGGAGAGGACTCTTTAAAGTAGAGACACTACATACTGATATACACCTGAACATCAGCAGGAGAGGACTCTTTAAAGTAGAGACACTACATACTGATATACACCTGAACATCAACAGGAGAGGACTCTTTAAAGTAGAGACACTACATACTGATATACACCTGAACATCAGCAGGAGAGGACTCTTTAAAGTAGAGACACTACATACTGATATACACCTGAACATCAGCAGGAGAGGACTCTTTAAAGTAGACGCACTACATACTGATATACACCTGATCATCAGCAGGAGAGGACTCTTTAAAGTAGAGACACTACATACTGATATACACCTGAACATCAGCAGGAGAGGACTCTTTAAAGTAGAGACACTACATGCTGATATACACCTGAACATCAGCAGGAGAGGACTCTTTAAAGTAGAGACACTACATACTGATATACACCTGGACATCAGCAGGAGAGGACTCTTTAAATTAGAGACACTACATACTGATATACACCTGAACATCAGCAGGAGAGGACTCTTTAAAGTAGAGACACTACATACTGATATACACCTGAACATCAGCAGGAGAGGACTCTTTAAAGTAGAGACACTACATACTGATATACACCTGAACATCAGCAGGAGAGGACTCTTTAAAGTAGAGACACTACATACCTGAACATCAGCAGGAGAGGACTCTTTAAAGTAGAGACACTACATACTGATATACACCTGAACATCAACAGGAGAGGACTCTTTAAAGTAGAGACACTACATACTGATATACACCTGAACATCAGCAGGAGAGGACTCTTTAAAGTAGAGACACTACATACTGATATACACCTGAACATCAGCAGGAGAGGACTCTTTAAAGTAGAGACACTACATGCTGATATACACCTGAACATCAGCAGGAGAGGACTCTTTAAAGTAGAGACACTACATACTGATATACACCTGGACATCAGCAGGAGAGGACTCTTTAAATTAGAGACACTACATACTGATATACACCTGGACATCAGCAGGAGAGGACTCTTTAAATTAGAGACACTACATACTGATATACACCTGAACATCAGCAGGAGAGGACTCTTTAAAGTAGAGACACTACATACTGATATACACCTGAACATCAGCAGGAGAGGACTCTTTAAAGTAGAGACACTACATACTGATATACACCTGGACATCAGCAGGAGAGGACTCTTTAAAATAGACGCACTACATACTGATATACACCCGATCATCAGCAGGAGAGGACTCTTTAAAGTAGAGACACTACATACTGATATGCACCTGAACATCAGCAGGAGAGGACTCTTTAAAGTAGAGACACTACATACTGATATACACCTGGACATCAGCAGGAGAGGACTCTTTAAAGTAGAGACACTACATACTGATATACACCTGAACATCAGCAGGAGAGGACTCTTTAAAGTAGACACACTACATACTGATTTACACCTGATCATCAGCAGGAGAGGACTCTTTAAAGTAGAGACACTACATACTGATATACACCTGAACATCAGCAGGAGAGGACTCTTTAAAGTAGAGACACTACATACTGATATACACCTGAACATCAGCAGGAGAGGACTCTTTAAAGTAGAGACAATACATACTGATATACACCTGAACATCAGCAGGAGAGGACTCTTTAAAGTAGAGACACCACACTGATATACACCTGAACATCAGCAGGAGAGGACTCTTTAAAGTAGAGACACTACATACTGATATACACCTGAACATCAGCAGGAGAGGACTCTTTAAAGTAGAGACACTACATACTGATATACACCTGAACATCAGCAGGAGAGGACTCTTTAAAGTAGAGACACCACATACTGATATACACCTGAACATCAGCAGGAGAGGACTCTTTAAAGTAGAGACACTACATACTGATATACACCTGAACATCAGCAGGAGAGGACTCTTTAAAGTAGAGACACTACATACTGATATACACCTGAACATCAGCAGGAGAGGACTCTTTCAAGTAGAGACACTACATACTGATATACACCTGAACATCAGCAGGAGAGGACTCTTTAAAGTAGAGACACTACATACTGATATACACCTGAACATCAGCAGGAGAGGACTCTTTAAAGTAGAGACACCACATACTGATATACATCTGAACATCAGCAGGAGAGGACTCTTTAAAGTAGAGACACTACATACTGATATACACCTGAACATCAGCAGGATATAACTCTTTAAAGTAGAGACACTACATTCTGATATACACCTGAACATCAGCAGGAGAGGACTCTTTAAAGTAGAGACACTACATACTGATATACACCTGAACATCAGCAGGAGAGGACTCTTTAAAGTAGAGACACTACATACTGATATACACCTGAACATCAGCAGGAGAGGACTCTTTAAAGTAGATACACTACATACTGATATACACCTGAACATCAACAGGAGAGGACTCTTTAAAGTAGAGACACTACATACTGATATACACCTGGACATCAGCAGGAGAGGACTCTTTAAAGTAGAGACACTACATACTGATATACACCTGAACATCAGCAGGAGAGGACTCTTTAAAGTAGAGACACTACATACTGATATACACCTGAACATCAGCAGGAGAGGACTCTTTAAAGTAGAGACACTACATATGATATACACCTGGACATCAGCAGGAGAGGACTCTTTAAAGTAGACGCACTACATACTGATATACACCTGATCATCAGCAGGAGAGGACTCTTTAAAGTAGAGACACTACATACTGATATACACCTGAACATCAGCAGGAGAGGACTCTTTAAAGTAGAGACACTACATACTTATACACCTGGACATCAGCAGGAGAGGACTCTTTAAAGTAGACGCACCACATACTGATATACACCTGAACATCAGCAGGAGAGGACTCTTTAAAGTAGAGACACTACATACTGATATACACCTGAACATCAGCAGGAGAGGACTCTTTAAAGTAGAGACACCACATACTGATATACACCTGAACATCAGCAGGAGAGGACTCTTTAAAGTAGAGACACTACATACTGATATACATCTGAACATCAGCAGGAGAGGACTCTTTAAAGTAGAGACACTACATACTGATATACACCTGAACATCAGCAGGATATAACTCTTTAAAGTAGAGACACTACATACTGATATACACCTGAACATCAGCAGGAGAGGACTCTTTAAAGTAGAGACACTACATACTGATACACCTGAACATCAGCAGGAGAGGACTCTTTAAAGTAGAGACACTACATACTGATATACACCTGAACATCAGCAGGAGATGAATGTGCCCTCATCTTCTACAATAGTTTATCAGTTTGGTAGGAAAATATCACTCGACACCGGGTTGAGAATTAATAATCAGGTACTAATTTATTCTTGCAAGAAGGAGCAGAGTTAAGTCACATACAAAGGATATGGTTTAACTTACACACGTTGCTGAACGGAGCAGGAAAAAACATCAGGCTTATATAGTCCAAAACACGGAGATAACAACAAAGTCGTAAATCGAGGTGGCGCTAATATCATCCGCGGGTGTCGGAAAGGTGTCAGGAACATCTGCGACGTCTTCTGGAAAGAGTCACGTACATCCTTCACATAAGTGGGATATTTAGGAGACAACAAGTATGTGTCTTCTCATAAATATCAACAACCGGAAATGCCCTGCCTCCTCCTATCACAAGAAGAGGCAGCTGCAAGGTCATACACAGTGCAGAGTCACACATAGTAGGCTTGTTTGAGACAAGCAAGACCTGCGCAGACCTGCGCAGTTGCGATCAACGTCTTGCTAGTGCGTTGCATGATGGTTAGTCATTTTGTCCGACTTGCTCTGGAGGCCCGCCCACATGAGACTTTGAAATTTCGCGGGACAAAGACGCCCGCAGCCTTGAGAGCGAGGCGAGGCGAGTTGGCGCAGTTGCTCTCCACGAGCTGCGGAAGCGAAATGCTTGATGGGAAACGGCTCGCTGGTATCTCGAGCTGAGCGCTCATTGGTGGTTTTTTCCACGTGCTGCTGATGAAACTCTCCAATTGGCTGGCAAAATGTTGTTGTTTTGTGTCAGTTTTACGTCGCCACTTCCATTCACATTTTTCATCATTGTTCCACAATATTTATCATCATTAAATTAATATCCATATATTTTATACTATACTTGCACTGCTTACCGTTTTCATACTTTATATATCTTAGCATATTCATACACACTGTTCATACTGCTCTCAGGCTGCTGTGTATATCTAGTGTATCCATACCCCTCACTGTTTATTCATCATTAAATTCATTCTATATGTTATTCTGTAGATTGTGTACATTACTTTTCACTTTACTGCTTGTTGCACCTGGTTAGAAGCTAAACTGCATTTCGTTGTCTCAGTACCTGTAATATGTGCAATAACAATAAAGTTGAATCTAATCTGGAGCAGGAACAAATGTATTTACTTAGTACATATCTGACATTAACGATTAAACACATGTGTGCATTCTTTATAAATGCAAACCGAGTAAAGCCGACTCCGGAGGTGGCGGTATGCACCTTCAAGCTGTTTGCAATCCGCCAAAAAACCGAGAGAAGAAGAAGATGACGAAGCCGACTCCTGGGCTGCTTCTCAGGTCGATTAATTGAAATCCTTGCTTCCCTCACTTGCGTCGTTTCCCTGCGTTTAGTCCCTCCCACCAGGGAAGCATGGAGGGACGCAAGGAAACCACGAGAAGCAGGGAAATGAGTTTTAAGAGCAATGGGACGTCCTTTCCTCCGGAGCGTCAGGTGAAGCGACGTCCGTTTGTGATGACGCTGCACAGCTGTTCGTCTGGCAGCAGCCAGCTCTGTACCCGTTATTTCCACAAACACCCCCGCCTCTGTTAGTGCACATTTACTGACATAAACATTAGTATCATCTGTTGTAGATCCAAATACATGAAATCAAATAAGAAGTCATTCTCAAAAAAGATAAACGCCATTCTTAAAATGTATAAACGAAAAAAGCGATCATGAAAATGTTTCCAATAAATGAATAAAATGATTTTGCCCACTTTGTTGTTTAGATATATCACATATTTGTAACTAAATGATACATGAATTGAAACAAAACACGGTATAAACTGAGGAGTGAGTCCCGTGAGGTTCATGTATTTTCTTCACTCCGCTGGGGTATTGCTCTCATGTCAAGAAGCATCAGATCAGTGCATGCACTGCCTCGTCCAATCAGTGAGCGATACACAGTAAGGGGGCGGGGTGAGTATCTGAGGATTTCATCGGAGGATGGTCTGGTGGTTCCTCGGTTATCGCTCCTCCATGATCGCTCCTCGCTCCTCGATCCTCGGTCCTCCTGCAGAAATAAGAGCCATGGGACGGTACTCAAGATGGCGCAGGCAAATCAACTTCCGGTGAGACCGAGGACCGAGGAGCGAGGAAATGAAAATAGTCAACCTGAGAAGCAGCCCGAGCATGGACTCCGAGCTGTCCGACTTCAGGCGAGCTTTTTGAGACCTCCCCCGGCTGCGATCGGCTATTCTCGTCTACTTTCGAGGCGAGCCGCAACGCGTCTCAAACAAGCCTAGTATCAGTGCATTAAAACCACCCATACAGAGGAGACAACAGTATTTTCTCCAACACAGTTTTAAAGTCAACAACGAGAATTCACTGTTTTGATCTGTTGACACTTCTCAGCTTCTTGCTAACTTTTACGTATTCAACCCGACTGATCATAAAAATAGATAAATGTGTGTCTATAGATCACTCAGATTTATTGCTACAGCTTGTCTTTAAACGCAACGCGCTCTGATGATGAACGACCGTCCACTCCCAGAAGCCTCCTGGATGCTACGAAGCTAATCATGCTAATAGGTTCAAGGTTCTTTATTTATAACAACTCAATGTTAGAAAAACATATTGTGTCGAGTTGAGAGGTCAAAGGTCGGCTGTCTTTTGGACTGGTGACAAATGTCTTCGGACACGCCTCCGCCCACCACACACACACACACACACACACACACACACACACACACACACACACACACACACACACACACACACACACACACACACACACACACACACACACAGCCATAAGACTGTTAAACACCTGAACTTTTGAAAGAACATCCATAACATGCATCTGTTTGCAACATATATGCATATTCCAATTACTTGTATAGAAACTATTCTGCACTATTTCTACTATATTTTATTTTATTTACCTGCACTATTTGATCTGTTTTATTGTGTCGCATTGTTGGAGGAGCCTGGTACCTAAGATGTTCTTTGTCATAACTACACTGTAGCTATGTACACATGACCATAAAAGCCTTGAATCTTGAACACACACACACATAACCACACACACACACTAAATCACTACGGCTGGTTAAGGAAGTCAGACGGAAACGCTCGGCTGCTTTAAAATGTATTCATACATTTAGTATTCATGGGAGTAGCGTATCTTTGTCTGACGGGGGGGGGGGGTGTGTCGGAGGTTACGGGGGAGGGGGCGTCTCATTCGAAACAAAGAGACACAAAAGAGAGGACACCTGTTTCCATCAGGACTGAGGTCGTCTGTGTGTGTTTTGGCTGAAGTCATTTGAGGACATTCTTAAGGAATTGTGAACAACGAAAAATGTTCAAGGATTTTTATTTTTTTATTTAGCCTGTTTTGAAACCAGTTTGGTTTACTATCCATCATTTATCAGGTTATAGATGGATTTCAACAGTCAGCTTTTCACACAATACTGAGACAATTATTTGGACAAAAGCTTTGTAACAAAACAACATTTTTTAATAGCACTTTAACGTCACAGAAAACCAACACAAAAAAAGGAATTAAGACAAAAACATTTTTTGAAGGAGAATACTTTTTGACACTTTCTACCCCAGAGAAATTATGTCTCTGCTTTCAACAATAGTCTTTAATTCCACTTTAACACAATTCCTTCAACAAACTAAAATCAATCAATGTTTATTTATATAGCCCAATATCACAAATGTTACCTTTGTCTCAGTGGACTTTACAGTGTGTACAGAATATCAGTATGACAATACGACACCCTCTGTCCTTAGACCCTCTGTCCTTAGACCCTCTGTCCTTAGACCCTCACATCGTACAAGGAAACACTTCCGGAGAAAACCCACAGTTTAAAGGGAACATGGGAGAAACCTCAGGGAGAGCAACAGAGGAGGGATCCCTCTCCCAGGACGGACAGACGTGCAATAGATGCCGTGTGTAAATCGAAGAGATAATACATTTGACAGCATATAGACCGAATGTTAGGAAATGCATGTGTCTGTAATAAGAAGATGAATCCACGAGGATGTCAGCTACAATCCTGTGGAAGCCATCAGGGAGGCAGCATGATGATATATGATAAAACAGGTCTGCTAAGTAATGTTGTATCTCCTAGTGCAGGCATCCTCAAAGTCCGGACTCCGGTCCGGATCCGGACCGAACCACAACTGTCTCTGGACTCTGAGCAAATTATACTTTTCATATGTATTATCTGTATGTCTGTGTTATCTGCGAGACATCGCCACAACGCAACGAGTCAAAATGATCCGCTGACTGCAAACAGCGCTCTGCATGTCCTGTTCCACTGTCTGTGTGTGTCTGTCAACGCATTGGTCCAATCACATTCAGCATCCCGTCAGCGTTTTTTCCCCCCAAACAATCTGCGAATCAGAGGCACAGTAGGGCGGGTCTTCGCAGAGAAGAGACTGTCAGTTTGGCTGTACTCAGCATTGAATCAAAACGCACTAAAGCTGTTGATCTTAATACGTTTGTGAGGCGTTTTGCTGAACAACAGGGTAATCGCCGCATTCAGCTGTAATAGACATGTCAACTTGATGCTCTGCTCACGGATGAGCATACACAACTATTAAGATGATGACCTTACGTGTGTAAATATATTTTTTTCTTTGAGGGGGTCTGCCCCCAAAAAACAGTTTTATGTCCTGAGAAAGTCAAATCAGACGGTGTGTAAAACTTCACTGCCCAGCCAAAAGAAAGTAACCACTTTGATTGAACTAGGCCAGTAGGTAAGGACTTTCCACTGGATAATAACTGAGTATAAAAGAATGCATGACTGAAGTGATGGAGACCATGTTGAAGGCAAACAAAAAGAGGAAATAACAGGTCAAATCAAGCCCCTCTCAGATTCCACAGCAACCAGAAGAACATAAACACTGGCTGGTGATTTGATTCATCAGCTTTGTGATGGAATAAAAAATGCACAGTGCATTTCCTTAGCTGTGGGTGAGTCCACTGACACCACTGACAATGCTCAGTTGCTGGTGTTTGTGAGTTGTTATGATGAGGCAAAGGGGGAGTTTGTTGAAGATGTGTTGGGCCTGACGAACCTCAGTGGACACACAAGGGGGAATACATTTATAAAGCACTAATGGTAATGCTGAATGAAAGAGGGTGCAGCTGCCTTTACTCATAACTGTGCAGCTCTCACACTGCGACTCTGAGGGGTCAAGCACAGACACAATAACAATGAAAACTGCTGCATACAGATTATTTTTGTTTTTGCAACCTCGTGTTAAGAATCTTGTTGCAATTGTTTAAAAGTTTGAATGACCGTAATAAACAGGACCTTTGTCTTATTGAAACATTTATTTTGGACCTTTAAGATTTGTATTTGAGTACCCCTGTCCTAGTGTATCTACATCTCTTGTTTCTTGAATGTATTTATTTACTCGAAAGACTCTCAAACAGAACAAACGCCCTTAAGTCGTAGATGCTGGATTTGTTAAAAGAACCATTTGATAGATATCTTTTGCATAAAGGGAACAAAACTGAGTACCTGAAGTGAATGTACTCATTAAAAATGCATTATGATGGGATTTGAAGTGGTTGATACATGAATACACTATCTACAGTGTGATTAATGGGTTTCATGCAAACATTAGGGGTTTTGAGAGGTAACAAAACACCTTAAATCCACCAAATGGTGTGTTAACATCTTTCAATGTATACTTTAAAATTGCCTTAATTCCTATCAATCAAGGTGAACTTTCGGTACATGTTAAGGTTATTTAATACCTCTTACATCCCCTTTAATCCAATGGATAATCTGCCTAAATGAAACCGGTGTGTGGGACAAAGCAAGGAAACCAAAAGTCACTTATAAATATAAATGATTTGATTATTAATGGCTAGAGATCTTTTTTGATTAAGCGTTTGAACTCCTTCTATATCTTTAAAATCTACCTTACATTGTTAATAATTTCATTTTGTATCTTAAACATCATTGTGTTAATTAAGGGAAAGTCATTATTTATGAGTGTAATTAAGATGATTGAATGTTTCTCTTTCAAATTGAATGTTTAATTTCGGGGATAATTGGTATTATCACGGATAAATTATGTAAGATTAAAGTCTTACTTTTACACAGTGACGACAGCTCAGCAGATTAGGGCTCACCCCGGGTGTGTGTGTGTGTGTGTGTGTGTGTGTGTGTGTGTGTGTGTGTGTGTGTGTGTGTGTGTGTGTGTGTGTGTGTGTGTGTGTGTGTGTGTGTGTGTGTGTGTGTGTGTGTGGTAAAGAACACACTGTTTGTAAACACAGGGATCATAAAGCACATGTCTCATCGCTGACCTGCCTTAAACACAGACATGCTGTAAACATGTTTTCTGTTGATGTTATCTGTGAGAAGAAGAGCAAAACATCCTCCTCACACTTCTGAGTGAGGAGGGAGTGGAACATTTGATCCGTGTAAACCTAACAACAACAACATCTCATCATAAACATTATCCCGGCATTTGGGAATGAATCTTTACACATTTTTCCCGTCAACCTCCTATTTTAATTCTGATTCAGAGGAAGTTAAAAGCCCCCTTAAAGGGGCCTTATTATGCTCATTTTCAGGTGCATATCAGTGTGCCTCTACTGTGAAATGTTTCCATGTTCTAAAAGGTCTTCCTTCCTCTCATACTGCCTGTGCTGCAGGGATTTTAGCCATTGCAGACCATTTACATGCACTAAAACCTATAGAACACGCATTATGATGCCCATTTAGGAAAAAGATACAGGAGATAAGTAAATGTATTTCATATTAATACTAGTGCTGGGATATAACTTAGTAAATGTACTGAAGTCCTGTATTTAAGTACAGTTTTGAAGTACTTGTACTTAAATATATCTGTTATCTGGAAGCTAAAGCTATCAGAGAAATGTAGAAATGTAGAAAAGTAGAAAAAACTCTGAAATGTTGCCGGGTAGAAAAAAACAAGTATACATTAAAAACAGTATAATGATAATAATGATATTCATCATAATAGCCAAAAGATTAGATAATATACTTTATTTATAAACATATTTTTTAAAAAAGGGGCTTAACCAGGATTACAAATATTTAGGACAACAATGCAAAATAAATACAACACAAAAAAGATATATGAAAAAAAAAGAATAATACAAATTCAATGTAAAGGAAGAAGCAGATCTGATAGTACGTTGGAGCATCCCCTCACACGATGAGTTCAGCCTGTGATAACCTGATTAATGTCCGCAGAGAGCAGCTCATCCCTCCCTGAGTCAGAGCTCTGCTTCCTGGCCTCGGTCCAGACTAAAGCTTGGAGGTTGTGGAGGGCTTCGTGTCCCGGTCTGACCCGGCCTCGCTCTTTCCTCCAGGACAGATTCCCCCGCTGCTTGGCTCTGGCGGCGCCTGGCTCTGCCTGCCGTGGACCTCCATCAACGGGGAACAGAGGCGGGAAAAGGAGCTCTGTGTGTGAGCACAAACACTGCCGCTCACATGGAGCCAGCAACAGACACTCTGACTGTGTGAGGGTAATTAGATTCACATTTATAAAACACAGAGCATAAAGTCATACAGTCTCTTAAGAATCACTCTTGATGACGCATTTATATCCTATGATTCAGAGATTTTGTTCAAGACATTTGAAATAATAAAAAATACCCCTTTTATCTAAATACGATAATACTGACATTTGACTTGCATCACAGCAGCTCCATGTCATCAACAGACAAGTATCAAGACACAATACATTTTTAAATGTTTCCATAACATCACGATCAGTGAGAGACAACATGCTCAAAGACCGTTCAGCGTGCATTTGATCTGGCTCTGTATTTACTGAGAGGATCGACTGGAGCACAAAGGATGCTTCAGTCTGACTTTATTGAATTGAGGGACCCTGTATCTCCCATTAGATGGTAGCAGTTCATATGCTCTGTTCAGAACATGGTTTGGGTCCGAGGTGATGTTGTTGGACAGCCTTATTAAGTTGTTATGAAAGGCTGAGTCGTAGAGTCTCTGACAGGTTGACCAGCAATCTTTGAGCATATTTGATCTGCAGTATTGAGTCATAAAACCCAGAAATAAATCAGCAATTTAGCACTTGAGGTTCCCTCGACTTCAAGTCAATGGTTTTTTGAACGTGTTGTTGTTAAAGCGTAGCTAAGAACCAACATACACAGTATTTAGCATCACATACATAACAATTAAAAAACAGACTTTTCCTTATTCTTAGTGTCAGGTTAATATTCCATTTTGAAAACGTTATTATGATTATTATATTCAATTTCTTGCCACAGATAACCAAATACTACAAATCCACTGAAAGCAATAGAGGAAACTGTCTTTCTCAAAAAGCATCTCATGACTTCTTTTTTCGGAGAACCCAACAAACATACAAATCTCAGAAAATTACTTTTGGAGTACATGGTTATTATTGCTAAGAGGAATGATGGATAAAGACTCAAATAACTGGTAAATGATTTAGTAAAACAACAGGTCTACCTAGCCCTACACGTAGCAACATCGCCCTCTAAATGAAGTCGTTTTCATGTGCTGGGAAAAAAACACTTTAATCTGATTCACCAGCACTTACTATCTTGCTTGATGTGAATATATCTGCACTTTCCTTGTTGTTCGGAGTTTGATTCTTTATGGTTTTTGCACTTACTGTAAGTCACTTTGGATAAAAGCGTCAGCTATTATATGTATAAGCCATTATTAACTTTCTTCCATTGAGTTTACCACATGCTACCACTGGCTCAGATAATGAAGAACAACAAAATAAGCTACCATAGCTATGCAGATGACACACAAATGTACGTAACCATTTCACCAGGAGACTATGCTCCAATTCAAACACTGAGTAAGTGCATTGAACAAATCAATGACTGGATGTGTCAGAACTTTTTCCAATTAAACAAAGATAAAACTGAGGTAATGGTTTTTGGAGCCAAGTCAGAACGTATAAAAGTTAGCGCTGAGCTTCAGTCTGCAATGTTCAAAACAACAGATAGAGCCAGAAATCTAGGTGTAGTCATGGACTCTGACCTGAGTTTCAACAGTCACATTAAAACTGTTACTAAATCAGCCTACTATCACCTAAAGAATATATCTAGGATTAAAAGACTAATGTCACAGCAGGATTTGGAAAAACTTGTCCATGCTTTTATCTTCAGTAGACTGGACTACTGCAATGGTGTCTTACAGGTCTCACTAAAACATCTATTAGGAAGCTGCAGCTGATTCAGAACGCCGCTGCTCGAGTCCTCACTGACACTAAGAAAGTGGATCACTCCTGTTCTGAAGTCTTTACACTGGCTTCCTGTGTGTCAAAGAATAGATTTCTAAATACTGCTGCTGGTTTATAAAGCACTGAATGGTTTAGGCCCAAAATACATTTCTGACCTCCTGCTAAATGATGAACCATCCAGATCTCTCAGGTCTTCAGGGACTGGTCAGCTTTCTGTCCCCAGAGTCAGAACTAAACATGGAGAAGCAGCGTTCAGTTATTATGCTCCAAATATCTGGAACTCCCAGAAACCTGCAGGTCCGCTGCAACTCTGACTACTTTTAAATCCAGGCTGAAGACTTTTCTTTTTGTCGCTGCTTTTAATTGAACTATTCACATCTTAGACTGCACTGTAACTTTTATCCATGTACTTTTTCTTTTAATGTTTATTTTATTAGCTTTTCTTTTAATGACTGATTTTAATGCCATTTTCTTAATGTTTTTCATTTTTTGTAAAGCACTTTGAATTGCCTTGTGTTGAAAAGTGCTATATAAATAAACTTGCCTTGCCTTACCAAAACTGGGGCATACACCCTTAATGGGGCTTTTTTGACATCATAACTTTTGCTCTCATGATGCGAACATTGTACCGTTGCTACAATAAATGGAAGCATTGGCTCCAAACCCACGATGTAACACCACAAACACATCCTGTGCGTGTGGAAAATACATGTCTGAGTGTACAAACACATTGACAGTGCAGAAAATCCCAGAGTAAAATGAAACCATTACTGCAGCATTCGGGCGTCTGGCAGCCGGAGCAGAAACGTCCACACAGATCCACTCCTGGGGAAACCCTTCATCTGCCGTCTGGGCTTCCATGTTTTACCGTTGATGGCGAACTCTTGTGTCATGCTCCTGTTGAGCGTGAGCGCAGAGTCACTTCTCACCAGCGCCGTGAACAGAGAGCCTTTGCTGTTGACGAAATGTCCCGGTAGAGACGACCACTGTCCCGAGGTGAGATTATAACAGTCCATGAGGCATCTGAGGAAGTCGGCCGACGGCCCGTTTCTCACCACGTACAAGTTGTCCCTGTGGCCCACCATGCTGTGTCCGTAGCTCTGCTTCCGGATCAGCGTGGTAACAAGCCGCCATTCGTCTTTCCTTGACATGTACTCGTAGATCTCTGTGGTCTCCATCGGCCTCCATAAACACACAAATATCCGGCTCATGGCTTTGGTGCATGCCGCTCCTGCCGCCGGACGAGGTAAATGAGCGGCAAACTTCCATTTCCCGGACTTAACGTCAAATATTTCCACAGAAGACATCACAGTTTGCTCGTACTCTCCACCAATTGCGTAAAGACGACCATCGAGACCAACGAGGCTAAGGTTGTATCGCAGTTGTGCCGGACTGGATATCCGGCTCCAAGTGTTGTTCTCGACGCTGTAGCAAAAACAGGAGTCCACAACTTCTTTGTTGCGTCCATGAACTCCTCCGACGATGTACAGCATGTTGTCTAAAACGGTTACCCCAGCCATGGAGGTGCTGGCATCTAGTGGAAGATCTGTCAATACTTTCCAGTTGTTGGCAGTTTCATCCAAGTAGCAGACGGTCCTGGAATCGGTGTGTACAGTTTCATCCACGCCACAAGATACATGAGCCCCAACAGCCACGAAAACACTCGGAGTCAAAGACTCCACGTAGGAGATCAGTTCTGACGGCAAGGATCTCTTCACCTCCGCCTCCAGGTCGGCGTACATGTTTCTGATGAACAGCGCGGCAGCAGAGTAAAGGTCCATGAGGCCGAAGGTGGCAGCGGTGTGAAACATCAGCAAACAGTTGTCAGAGTCGATGAGGTTGATGAGATGCTTGGTGAGAGGCGCCACCTGCAAGAAGGAAGCGCATTCGATGGCTTCGACAATCTCGTCCCCGTCCAGATCGATCATATCCCCTCGTAACACCGCCAGAGCGATGAGGAAACCTCGAGGGTGAAGAGACTTCAGGTGGATTTCCTCCTGTCGACACTCCTTCATCCCAGAGCGATACAAAGCTCGGAAATAGTCGCAACTCTGAACAAGAAACATTTTCTCCTCAGAGAAGTGAGCGCCTCCGATCACAACGGTTAATTTGGCTGAGGAACAACGTGGCAGATTTATTTCGTCACAGCTGCTGCCGTCCTCAGACTCACTTCCCTGCGCTGACATTGCAATTCTCTGAAAGTGACCCTCAAGACAATATGCTCCATGAAAGTGAAACCAGAGTTTGAAGCGTTTCCAGAAGTTGAAGAGCGAGAGCAAAGAGACACAGAGCGAAGCAGCTTCCCTCTCAGTTAATTCACAGCTCTCCAAAATAGATTCAGATAAAAATAGAAAAGAACAAATGACCAAAGTCACATTCATGTTGTGAGCAACACGTGAACAAAAGGTCAGTGATACCTCCTGCAAACTTAAAGGTCACTTTGACCTAAACAGGGTTCTGAAAGAGTTTACTCAAATACAAAAAGGTGTAAAGAACTTTAGATTATAAGCAACACAATCTGATCAAATCAACGCTCTTTTAAAGGTGCTCTATGCTAAATTCAGAGCATATCTTTTATTGGATGATTGCCTCCACATGGCTCTCATCATTTAATGGAATACTATAAAGAAATAAAGGATGTATCAAGTAAAAAGTATTCATACCATATAACTCAAGCCTGAAGGACACTGAGGTCACAGTTTTCACTATCTTAATTTCTGTCTTGTTAATGCATGTCGGAAATTAAAACATCTCAAGCCAGTTAGCTTAGCTTAGCATGAAGACTGTAAACAAGGGCAAAGAGCTCTCGTCCTTTAATATTATAGTATTAGTAATATAGTATTAACGCCATTGTGACATATTCCACAACTTAAACTAAGTGTGTGAAGATGGAAAGTAAAAATGACAATAAACACAAGACTTTTAGCCCAAACATCTGAAAGGCTAATAAGTAAACAGTGATGTTGTTTGAGATATATTTAGCCTCTGAGCTCAGGGGGGTATACTACGAAGCAGGATTTTCGCTTAGCCGGCTAAATTCAGGGACAACTCCGGCTTCCGGTCCTACGAAGCTGGTTCTCTTTTTAGCAGGCTAGATCTCCATGGTAACTTATGCTAAGCGGCTAACCTGGTCGGGACCAGGTTAGGTTGCAGGCTAAGAGATCAACTCAGTGAAAGCACTGCCTGCTGACCAATCAGAGCTCAGTGTGCGGAGTTTAAAGCGATCAAGTCATATTACAGGAGAAAGGAAATACAGAAAAGCTGCCGTCGCAGGAAAGACGGCCGGCAAAAATCACCGACTGTGTGAACGTGAACATTAATATAATATCACCTCCATCTTCAGAGCAATCTGACTATTATAACATTAGCGTTAAGAAAGCTTACTTAAATATCTGCCACAACATAAGTAACCGGATCAGAGTAACATTAAGTACAGTCCGCGGCATATCACTTCATAATGTATCATATATCTCCTTATCTGAGTCAGCTGAGTCGTATCTGGCCGTGCAACACTCAGTGTCACATACTGTATGCAGAAGTATTATTTTAAGCAACACATTAAGTTGACGAAACACTCGAGACAAATGTAATGAAAGTCAGATCGTGTCTTAGACGGGCAGTGATATCATAAACCTGTTAATGTACGCATTCAAACACTTGTTCTGTTACCAGCTGTGTTCACCTTGCAGGTGCAGCTCTGTGGCTTTGATCCTGGATCAAGTGTTTAAGTCATGGATGTTTAAAGTTTAACTTCTTCATATGTCTAATATTAAAGTTCACTTTTCATTCAGGAAGTATGACGCTGCGCTGTCAGTACGCTTCTCCATGTTTGTGATTGGTCGAATGCTCCAGATACCACCCCTTTTATGTGAACGCGCACCTAACTAGATAGGACACGGCTGGCTTGAGCGATCCACTTGATAACCAGCGTCGTAGTACAGTTTAGCGAGAGCGCGTATGTTTTGGATTAGGCCAACCGGCTAACTCAAACATATCCAGGTTAGGTTGAACCAGCTTCGTAGTATAGGCCCCAGATCAGTTTGAAGAACAACAGCAGCTCTTTGTTTGCCTTTACTTCGGTTTCCTGCTGATCTGTCTCTTTTACATTCACTGACAGTGAGGGGGGAGGGGCTGACCTACATTTAGGCTCTAGTTGGGGGGGGGGGCAGAAATTCAGAAGGTCATGTGACACCTCAGTCAAAACCGTCTCCAGCTGTTTGTAAGCAGACAGAGGGGATTGTGGGAAATGTTGTACTGCTGCTTGGGTTTCACCAAAACACCGGAAGCGGAGGAAACAATGCAAGGGGACGAAGTTATACAATTGACACACAAATGAGGTGTAAGAAAACAAAAAAACATAAAATAACTATATATTATAATATGCGGGTAAAAAGAGGTAATGTACAGATTATTTGGGGTAAAACTTTCTGGTGGCTATTAATGAAATATAAACATAGGGTATTAATAATGTGTTTAATCTGCTTATAGCACTATATATGTATGGTTTTAAGGATGCAAACAAATTAAATATACTCAATGAAAACACTATTAGCACATTTTAAAGCATTTTAGAATGACTTACAAGGTCGAGTGTTGTACTACTCACTTACATTAATCAAGGTATTAGTAATCCTATAATTGTAATAGATTATTATATTTTTACAATGCAATATATTTACTTTTATAATGTATTGAAATGGGTTTCAAAGTCACTGTAAGAGGTCATTGTTTGCTTGAAGTCGAACTGGAAATGTAAGTGGAACTAGAAACTATTTTGAATACTTATTGTTTTAAAATGCACTATACTATCTTTTGATTATTGTATTAAAGTAGTAGGAATGGTTATGTGTACTTATAAGTGCTATACACCGAGTATAACGCATTATAAGTATGTTTGTAGAGAAAGGCATCATTTAATTCAATTATCTTTGTTTTTACATTCAGTTTAAACATTACACTGCCTACAAAACAATATGTAAATTGCAGGTTAAAAAAGATATATATATATAAATGATCAATGGACAGCATTTTAAATATGAGTTTGTACCTCGTTGGATGATATAAATACATGCAAATGATTATTAAGGGTTTTATGAAAAAGCATAGAAACTGTATATTGCTGTTGTGGATATATGAACCATATTTGGTGGAAAAGACACATCATTATAATCGGGAGTAATCAGGAAAAAACAGAAGTGGCAAGGAGTAAACACTGACAACAGCACAATAAAAACATCAGGGAGTGTCACATTTACCTCGTCTCATGCCTGTTATTTTGGGTGCTGTTGAAATGCATTCTGGGAAATGTAGGAAATCCCTGCTGCTGACGAGTCACGCTGAGGGCACTGGGTTCATCTGAAAGTAAACAATGAGATTTTGTAATACATGTGTTAATAAATGCACTTTTATAATATATAACAGAATAAATACATCGATTGTTTCACTTATATTACTATTTATACCTTTATATTGTAGTCTTTTAATGTTATTTTTCGATAGGTTTTTTTGTCATGTGATTTTTTTGAAACCGCTCTATGATGCACCGCAGCACTCCCGGAGTGACGACCTCTGTATCCTTGCGCCAGTCCTACTACGTACAACTAATCCGTGTATTTAATCATTGATTTCGTGCTCGCTTTTCACCACACCGACTTAAAATTCACCGTGAACCCAAACTAGTCGATACACCTGTTTATCCATGTATTAGTTTGGGATATGAAGCGATGGTGAATTAAAGTTCAGCGGGGTCAGGCGGAAGGATCCGTCTGATCTTTTTGTAAACATTGGCAGCAGCAGCGAGACAGAGTGGCGCGCTTCTCTGGATGCTTGGACTTTTTGCACCACAACATTGATGGTTTTTTGCCGTATAAACGTCTCATTTTCCCCGTAAAACGAACCAAGAACTGTGCTGCTATCTGGGATTAAATACGTGAACATTTTTCAGGTATATTTTTTGATTTTGGGGCAGTATGCTGCTCTCTAAACTGGGCTCCTTCTCTCACATCGTGGCCAGCATGGACATGCCGGCGAAGCTGCAGCAAGGTAACGTGTTTTGTAACCCGTGTTACATAGAAAGGTTTATTGGTCCCACATTTTGACATTATTTTGCTACAGCAGCAATCTTAAAATCTTTAAGGTGGAAAAAAGTATAAAATAATTAAAAATCAAAACAATAAACATCATTAAGTCTATATTCATATCAGTAGAAATGAAATTTAACACAAAGAATAATCAATATAACATGTTTTAGATAGATTTAGATTGAAAAAATCCAATATATTACCAGTTGCAGAAAAACATACATTATGATAGTATGTGGTATGTGGCGTGTCGTACTTAAACCCAACCTTTAAAATGGACACGTGGGTTTTTACGGGAGTAGATTTGTCTCAATAACATTTGTGTGAAAATGAAATAAATGAACGTGTAAAGTGTAAATACAAAGCACCTTCCACAAATGCTTTAAAAAGTGTTGCAAATGCACCAACAAAAAAAAGTGCAAATGGATATGAAAAATAATTCCATAAATAAAAAAAAATCTGTGAATACTATTATTAATTTATTATTATTATCTATGTATATCTGGTACACACAGGGAGACCGAAATGCTGTTTCCCAAATATTAAAATATAGAAATACTGTGTGAACATAAATACACTATATTAAATGAAATAGGAACAACATAAACATGTATAAAAATAGCAGTCTGGTAGTGAAAAACAGATGGATATATGACGACAGTATAAATACAAGTAGTGGAATAACTGTCCATAGCATCATCGTATCTCGTGCTGCAGGTGCCAACATGTGTAGTAGCCTTTAAAAACAATGATAGTTACCACCTCATGATGATGCCGACAGTCCACCATTTTTAAACAGCTGACACAGAACAACAACAGGGGTCGCCTGAGGACGTCTGTTGGTTTTAGGTGATTTATTTGTGTATTTCAATAACAAATTAATGCTATATATTTAAAAAAAATCACATATTATGAGCTTCCATTGAAATGATAGCACACCAGGGACAAACTGTGTCCTTGTGATGTTGTTGTATTGCTCGATGGGGGTGGGTGGGGTTACAGATTTTGGCGCAACTCAACCTAAAACGTCCTAATCTTATGAATTATTGCTGATTTTTTAACTTTGTTTCTGTGTTTTTACAGCTAAAGTGGAGAAGCAGCCGTTTGAGAAGGTGTACCGGCTGGGCTCGGTGCTCGGTAGCGGGGGATTCGGCACGGTTTACTCTGCTGTCCGCCTGGCCGACGGGCTGCCGGTAAGAGCCGCTGTGTTTTGGTCCCGGCAGCACATGGCCGCGATTCATGGGTGAAGTTACACACTGCGGAAAAAGCGTTTCCGGTGGTTGCCTTCCTTCAAAACAAAAGCGTCGCTCAACTCTTCAAATGTACAGCATTTCAGATTGAGTTTGATATTTTATCAGGATTTGTTTTTACATCTTTTCCATCATAAACAAATGGCTTTGGAAGTAAATACATGTTTACAAGTCAAACCCACACTAGCCTATTATATTTGATTTTATTATATCTACATTATTAAAGAAATATGTCTTCTACAGACCATTCAAACACGTTTACCATAATGAATTACACGTTTCTTTTGTCTCAAATAGCATAGTATAAGATATATGTTGGTGAAAGTCTTTGAAATAACAAAAATGTCCACATTTAATAGCTTTTTTTTCCTACTGAGCTGATAGACCATCAGATTTCCGGGTGGATTTCTGTGGTCTTTTTTTGGCCCTGATCCAAACACCAACGCACTAGTCCACTGCGCCACAGCCTCCCTAGCTCACAAATTAAACGATATACAATTCTTATTGCCTAACTCAACCTTCATGTATTCTTTGTGCTTTTATTTTGAAGGCAGATTCTATTCTTTTCCTGTTTCACTCTTGTCAGCTGTGCAGCTTGACAGCAGTCCTGCTTTGCATGTGGTCTTTGTTTACACAAAGAAACATGCTCATAAGGCTTTACTTTCATGTTTAAATGGAAACCTAACCTTACTACCTGACCTTATTTTCTTCAGTAACAGGAAATGGTTCAATTTGTCATTAATCTTTTTCTAAATTAACCCAAAACAAAGAAATACTTAAAAGAAAAACAAAGAGCTGTTACATATGTTTTTAAATGTTGGCTGCGGTTTCATTATATTTTTCTATTTCGAGACAGTTTCATGTCCTATATTATATGTGATTATGTGAAGGCTGTGTGCTAATCATGTTTCCTTTTGTTTAATGCAGGTGGCGGTGAAGCATGTCTGCAGGGACAGAGTGACCGAGTGGGGCTCTCTGGTGAGATGTACCTTCATATTAACACCTGTCAGATTGATTACTACATTTACTGTAACATGATGTGCAATAGCCCTTCCTATACATATACAGCATGTACAATATACCCTTGTGCAATCCACGCCTCATTTCTTTCCATTTCTTTCCAATCTGCAAACCGAACCGGCTGCCTCTTTCATTTGATGTGGTCCTGCTTAAAAATATAGTATATAATATGTATATATTTGTATCATGGTCTACTTATTTGTTTTTGGTACTTATTGTGTTTTATAATTAATAATAATGTGTGCACACGGAGTTATTTTTTAATATGTAAGCTAGGGATGCATATCGTTGACTTTTTAACGATACCGATACTCAACCGATACATATCGTGATACTTTGAAAATGTATCATCCCACAATTACTCCCATGAAGCGCTTTACGATATAGTTAACATGTCAAATGAATATTAAATTCAATTGTGGGACTTCTTGGACCTTTTAGTTCTGAACAAACAATGAAAAATACATTAAAGATATGAAGAAAACCGATTATGGAATATCTTTTATAACACCCGCCGTCAGGTGTGCCGCGTGAATAGCACATCTTGTCAATGCAAACAGACACCGTTATAATTAATGTTAAACCTGAGATTCGACTAGAGAACAAATACATAATGGAATAAAGGTCATGAGATCTCGGCATTGCACAAACAAACAAATCTCATCTTTAAAATCAACATTACCTTCACTGGTGAGAGAAAACAAATCCCATCACAGTTCATTTGTGGGACTTTTACCTTTCTAGTACAAACAATGAAAAATACATAAAATATGAAGAAAAACGATGCAATCTAATTTATAACACCCGCCATCACGGGCCACGGACTCACTTTTACAATTAAATTTAAAACATTTTTTAAAAATATATTTAAAGTATCGAAATCGGATCTGATTTCGGTACGGTATACCGTAGCCACCAGTAACCGGTATTTCGGTAATACCGGTATGCATCCCTATGTAAGTCTATTCTCTTTATCTGCATTATACTTCTGCGGTTGTAATAATGTAAATATCCAAATAATGGAATTCTGATTCTGATGATATGCTTTGAGATAAGACCCTTTTTCATGGCCAGTGAGTTGACGGTATGTTTCCCTCTCAGAGCGGCACAGTGGTTCCTCTGGAGATCGTGCTGCTGAAGAAGGTTGGCGGAGCGTTTGGAGGCGTAGTGCGGCTTCTCGATTGGTGGGAGCATGCCGACGGATGGCTGATGGTGATGGAGAGTCCAGAATCGGGGCAAGACCTGTTCGATTATATAACCGAGCAGGGCGCATTAGAAGAGGCGGCGGCACGAGGATTCTTCCTGCAGGTGCTAGAGGCCGTGAGGCACTGCTACACCTGTGGAGTCGTCCATCGAGACATCAAGGACGAAAACCTGCTGGTGGACCTGAGGACCGGACAGATCAAACTAATCGACTTCGGATCAGGAGCCCTGCTCAAAGACAGCGCCTACACCGAGTTCGATGGTGAGTCTGATCATGTGATAGGATCTAGTGGCTAAGACAAGATGGAACTTTATTAATCCCCAAATTCAGTAGTTTAACTGCAACAGGGTAAGAATGAAAAACAGGGCGGCACAGATTCATACAGATTGGGGGGTGGGTGCTAGTGGAGCACGCTCATCACGGGCTTGCTAGTGGAGCAAGCTTGTGAACTGTTCGCCGGAGCCTCGCAGCGGAGTTACTGCGGAGCGCATAAAGCAGAGCCTTCACGCGACAGCAGAGCGAACAGGTACAGGAGGGGTAGTTAATCGATCGCAGATGGCGTCGTGCTTGTGGACGGATACAAAAAGATTAAACCTAAATGGGTTATATATATATATACTTTATCTTATTATTATTTTACTTTATCTTATTATTTATATTATATTATTATTATTTTATCTATATACTTTGGCGGACGTTAATATACCTAGGCGGCCCGCCCAAGTAAAGTCTGTGTGGGAAACCCTGTGTTAGTCTTACATTATTCAATACATAACATACCTACTGCCCTCTTCTCCTCCAGGCACGCGGGTGTACAGTCCTCCCGAGTGGATCCGTTTCCAGCAATACCACGGCCGCTCGGCCACCGTCTGGTCGCTGGGCGTGCTGCTGTACGACATGGTGTGCGGAGACATCCCCTTCGAACAGGACGAGGAGATCCTGAGAGGACTGGTCTACTTCAGACGCCAGATCTCCTCAGGTCGGTCTGAGTGTGACGTGATCGTTTTCTTAAAATAGTTCTCTATCTGTGTTTTTACGTTTTTGTTTTATGTATGCACCACGACACCAAGTCAAATGCCTCGTACGTGTCAACCTACCTGTTTCTGATTCTTATTTGTTGTTGTTTACAGAATGCAAGCAGCTGATTGGTTGGTGTCTGAGCCAGCAGCCGTCGGACCGACCAACCCTGGAGCAGATCTTCCTCCACCAATGGGTGACGGGCAGCGAGGTGCAGCACACAGACAGCATCACGCTACACACCATCACAGCAGACTCGTCGTCCTCCTCGTCCTCCTCCTGCCAGGAGAGCCTCTGATTGGTCGACACCAGGCTGTGGGGCGGGGCATAGACATTTGATGCCTTGTGTCCTCGTGTGTTGAGCGGCCGCTACCAGGAAGGGTTTTTCTGCTGAGGGCGGCGTGTTGTGGTCATGATTTTCTCCACAGCGCCCCCTCCTTTTCAAAGACAATAGAGCAGCTCTTATAGAGCCTGTGAGGTGTTTCTGTTTCAGAGTGCCTTACGTTATAATGTGTGGAGCTCTGCAGACGTTCTTTTAGTTTGATAAATACAGGTAGAATGTAAAATAGCTCAAGGTAAAAGAAGAAACCAGCCAGGTTCTTTACAAAACTGTATTTGCAAGGCACAACCCCCCCCCCAAAGTTTGTAATCGTCACTGCTTTGTTCTTGATTTTACAGACAAATGAACCAGATGTAACGTTTATTGTTTTTTATAAATGCTGTCAGGTGGATTTTTCTACCTTTGGACAAAGCAGAATGGAGGTAGAAATAGAACTGGTTACAGGAACAGTCACGTGAATGTAAAGTCCTTTTATCACCCAGCAGTATCAGTCATTTGGCCTCTAAAAGCTGTAACTAGTTCTCTTTATACCTCCATGGTGTGCCCCAGTTACAGTCTTTGTGCTAAGCGAAGAGTTATCTAAAAGTCAAACGTTAATTCAAAGATGGTTTCGTCTTGTCCTCTGAGGAACCCAGAAACACCTCATCATGTCAGCATCAGGACGACAGCTGAATCACTCTGTTGATGGGATACCTGAAACATAAATACATACACACACACACACACACACACACACACACACACACACACACACACACACACACACACACACACACCTCTCTGAGAAGCTGTGCGTCCAGTTCTGATACCAAAACATGACTTTTTGATACTTGCCAAGGACACAGGTTTTCTTTGTTTCTTACGTCTGACAGTTCTTCCGGCAAAAGCTTTATTTTTCTACAGTTGATGTTCCTCTAGACGTTGGGATGTTTTTCTTGTTCAAGCGGAGCTGCTTATTGTTTGAAATGTTGGACGTATGTCATCTCTTTGTGTTCTGAAACATGACGTCCTCCCTCAGTGTTCGGGTCTGAGATGCACAGTCAATGCAAATGTTTATATTTTGTATATTCTGTATTTTATTTCATTTTAAAATATATTTTTTACATTTTTGTGTTTATATTTATTAGGTAAGAAACATTCCTCATCGTTTTGGTTATTTATTTGAGTTGTTTAAGAAATAACTCATTCTCGTGTAATCTGTTAATGTTCGTGTTTTGAAATGTACAGTTCTGACAGGAAATATTTTTTTATGGAATTTTTCAAATAAAACCTGTTTGGGATATAAACTGATTTTCTGTGTGATGTGTTTGATCCTTTCTTACCCCTGCCTTATTCTCTCCTGTTGTGTGTGCATGGCCCTTTAACGGTCTCCCTTCCTCCCTCTCAGCGCTGATTGAGGGCACCTGGCCGCCGGTACCGGAGGAGTGAAAGGCTCGAGTCTCGTTCGCTCTCTCGGTTGGAGGATCTGTTTTTGAGAGCAGCTACCTGACTTGTATGCTTTTGTTTCCTTTCCTCTTAGTAGGCATTTAACACCTCGCACCACACCACGTTCACACATCCACACTACTGATCTTACTGATTAACACGTCCCATTGTGGTAGCTTTGTGTTTAGTTGTTTGGTGTACAATATCTTCCTTATATCGTGTCCGTTCCACGTTTTTGTTATGGCCAAGAGCCAGGCCATGACACTTCTCTGAATAATATTTAGCTCTTCATCAAGTCTTTACAACCTCTCAAAGCCTTTACATACGAGTCATTCGTTCATTCACACCTCATTCATGCAGAGGAGTACCACATGCTATTCTAAGCTAACACACACACGCACACACCGTTGGCCATCGGGAGCAACTCTGGGTTCAGTATCTGGGATCGAACCAACAACCTTCGACCGACGACCGCACTCCCACGCAGCCACAGTTAATGCCAAACAAATCACATAACTTGAATTAAGTCAGATTTATATAGTTGTTTTTGCCTCAAACCGTTATTCTATTGCTACAGTGAGTCACTAATAGAGAAACACCAGTTATTTATTTAATACAAATAATCCAAGGAGACAAATTGTCATTAATTAAGTTTGTCTTTGAGTAACTTCTACTAAATAATTGTTCAGTAGTTTTTATTGTTGAGTTGAATTCTAATAGACGTTGGCTTGATACCCTTTTAATGTCTTAAGTGCGAACGGTGCCCAAAACGTGCAAATTAATCATTTGAAATAGTGTCCTCTTCAATCAATCCAGTTCATCCACCAACAGTTAGAAGACAAGTAGCTAGCCTACTTATGTGTATTCATATCTGCATATGTGAAATGCAACACCCCGATAGTCTATCTAAAGTCTGGGAATAAGGGCACAGTCACTACAGATAGTATTTAACATATACGTTGCTCAGTACGTCTAGACTCTAGATCGCATGTGTCAAACTCAAGGCCCGGGGGCCAAATCAGGCTCGTGGTGGATTTAATTTCGGCCCGCAGGATAATTTTTAATTACTATTAGATCTGGCCCGCCGGTATATTGCACGCACACCTTCACTCCATCCTGAGGGTCTCCTCAGCTCAGAGCCTGAGCCCAAACATTGATGAACCTGCACCCAAGATGAGATGCCAAGTATCTGAGCTAGCATCACAGAGCAGCACACTGAGTTCAATGGATGTTTCCTTCGGCACTTTGTTTCTTGAGACAAAAGGACATGTTTGGTTTGTTCTTTGAAGGAAATAGTTTTGTTGAAGCTGTTGTTGGCCTGTGGAAAAATGTAATCATAAGAAATGACTCTGGAAAAGCTGCAGATAGAGCCATAAGGAATGAATGCAACTGATTATTTAATGTTTAATGTTGTTTTTATAGGCAATCATTTAAGCTTTGTTAGTTCCAGGTTTAATATGTGCAATGAGTTCATTTCAATAAGTTCTGCAAAAAACATTGAACCAGTCCGGCCCTCGACTTGTACACATTTTTTAATTTTGGCCCACTGTGTGAGTTTGACACCCCTGGTCTAGAAATTGAAAAGTTCCACGTTTTAAATATAATAGTGTAACATTTACAGCTTACAAAACAGCTAATACTAATCAAAGACCGTTAACACTAACTTATCATAGTAGTTGTTTTAACTGCAAATCATGTAGGATGTTTTCCTATTTAATAAAAATCCAAGAAACTGTCTCTTATATATTTTCATTTTTCTTATTGTTTCTGCTTTAATCCAGACAAGTATAAGTCTTTTTCGTGGTATATTTTCAATTAAATTCCTTTGAGTGGTGAGTTTGTTTATAGCTAAATTGTATTATAGAACTGCCGCGACACCATGTGGCCGCTACTGAGAATACATACATCTGTAGACACTGGACAGGAAATACATTAATTAATAATGGGATATAATGATGAAATTATTGATTAAAAAAAATACCTGTGTCCATTATTGTAGAGTTGGTTGTTAAAATCTGCGAAATCATTTTTTGAACAGGCGTTTTTGCGACAGCTATCGGCAGAGGTCCTTCCATCGTCAACACCGGAACAACACGTGAACAGAAGGTAAAACAGCAGCTAATGGTTCATAAAACATGAATAAACTAGATTAAATGTGAGTGTTTTTCATGTAATAACGTGTATTTATTCAACCCAAAGACACATAGAGACCTAACTTTAGACTGAATGTTTTTACAGTCCGGAAAATATGTAGTTTCTTGTGCACTCGTCGCCAAACTTCGTTTAATTAGTTAATACAAACAGGTCAAACTGTGTTTTAAAAGACAAGCGTGTTAATTAAATGTGGATTAAATACAAGTTTACATTTAATAAAAGGTGCCCTTCGATTCGGCTTGTATAAAATATACAAAAAAGCGATCATTTTCTTAGTTGGTTTATACTTATTTCTGCTACTGTAGTACAAGTCCATATTTCTGTTGCAGTGTCTATCTATCTATCTATCTATCTATCTATCTATCTATCTATCTATCTATCTATCTGTGTATCTATCCATCTATCTATCTATCTATCTATCTATCTATATCTATCTATCTATCTATCTATCTATCTATCTATCTATCTATCTATCTATCTATCTATCTATCTATCTATCTATCTATCTATCTATCTGTGTATCTATCCATCTATCTATCTATATCCATCCATCTATCTATCTATCTATCTATCTATCTATCTATCTATCTATCCATCTATCTATCTATCTATCTATCTATCTATCTATCTATCTATCTATCTATCTATCTGTGTATCTATCTATGTTTCTGGGTAATTTTGGAACTACTTTTTGCATTAAAAAAACAATCACTCGAAAAAATATCATAAGAAGAATAATTCAGCAGTTGTTACTCATGTGTCTGTGAGTGGTTCCACTGAGAGAAACCAGTCATAATGTGTCACTATATTCTATTGTGTTGCACTAGCCTGTGACCTAAGCATTTCATTGTCATAACTACACTGCTATATGTACAAATGACAATAAAAGCCTTAAATCTTGAATCACTTCACATGTGTGTTTTCCCCATCAGAGGGTCAGGATGGGTCGCTCCTCAAAAGACAAGCGGGACATTTACTATCGTCTGGCCAAAGAGGAGGGCTGGAGAGCGAGGAGCGCCTTCAAGCTGCTGCAGCTGGACCAGGAGTTCAACTTGTTCACAGGTGAGACCCACACCTGAGGAGGGGCTTCTGACAACTTTCATATAGTTATATCCTAACACTGGAAAAAAAAAATGCTGCTCCAAAACAAGTTAAACAATAATGAGAACAAGGTGTTTTCACTAGAAATAAGTTCAACAATCTGCCAGTAGAACAAGTGGACATGTGCTTGGTTAGAGCTCTTGAAATAAGATATTTAGATAAATCTGATGTTGTAATTAACTGGAGAACTTATTTTGAACTATATTTGACCAGAATCAGGAAATGCTGTGTACTTACAATATAAGCAGCTAATGCTCCAAAGTGTTCTGAAGTTAGTTGGTGATTTTCTAATAAATATGTAAAAAAATATGTGTTTAATCTGAGATACAACTCAAAATAAGATATTTTGACTTAACAAGATGAGGCATTGTCTAAAAACAAGACCTGATATCTCACTGCAGTGTTACTTCTGAACTTATTATGTCTTATATCAGGTGTAGAGAAATATTCTGACTAGATATTAGACGAATATACTGGGCAAGATTTAGAGTTTTAGTGAAATGGGTATAACTGAGCCTTGTAAATGTCCGGTTCTTGCTCTTTGGGATGTTCTGGGCTCCTCTGGTACACATCCAAGTGTCTGCCTTACTCTATTTTAGTTCTCTCTTTTATTAATGAGTTGTCGAGATTCATTTATTCCATGTCTTTCTTTCAGGAGTGAACAGAGCGGTGGATCTGTGTGCGGCTCCTGGCAGCTGGAGTCAGGTCCTCAGTCGGAAACTCAGGTTTTTATCTTTAAAAAAAAAAAGTAAACAGATTGAGATTAAATTAAATGTATCTTAACAATACTTTTCCTATTTTATTGTTTTGATTTTCAACTCAGAGGGCTGGAGGAGAAAGGAGAGAAGGTCGAGGAGGTGAAGATCGTGGCGGTGGACCTGCAGGCCATGGCTCCTCTGCCGGGAGTCACCCAGATCCAGGGAGACATCACCAAGGTGAGGAAACGATGAATGAAACACTAAGTTGGGGTTTTAGGTTCCTTGAGCGGATTGGATCATTCCTACATGATCTGTGTCTGGAAATATGACCCAGATCAGAAAAGTCCAGCATGCAGGGTTCTTACGGTCATTAAAAACCTGGAAAAGTCATGGAAAATCAAAATGCTAATTCCAGGCCTTGGAAAACAATATTTTTCCCAAAGTTTTGGAAAAGTCATGGAAATGTAACTAAAGTTGCATCAAATTTAATTCATATTTTATCTAATCGCGGGAAATAGTAATACTATAACGATAATAAATACTGTATCGTATAGTAATGAAACATTTATTAAAATGGCATTTAACTGACGAGGTGTTGGTGAGAGATTTGAGTTGCTTTAGCGTGTAGAAGCTAGTAAGCTACTATTTGATTTGTTTTAGATAGGCACAACGTGTTTCATATGCAGACCTTATTTTCCTGTTCCATGTTCAAATAAACCATTTTCAGTGCCGCTGAGAAAGAGTCATTTCTTTGGTCATGGAAAATTAGGCAAAGGTCATGGAGAAGTCATGGAGAAGCATTGGTGAAAAAGTGTATGAACCCTGAGAGCACTTGAAACGCACGTTGGTCTACAATCAACTAGCTCTGCATAACAGATTTCTAGGTTCCTGAGGAGATGGGAATTGTGTTATTTGTTCATGAGAAGGGTTTTTAAGAGGATCTTCAACTCAAGTGAAATGCTATGTCGTTACCTACTTGAATTTGTGCATTTTCCCCATATAGTGCAAGCCTCCTCCTTTTTCCTTTTTACAGTTCAGATACGGTCGAGCTCGTCCATGAGGTCTGGGTTGTAGCTGGCGTCCATGTTCTCCACCCTTTTCTCCGTTTTCTTCATCGTTTGCATGGAAACACCTCAACCTGCTCAGGGATAAAACACACAAAGTAGTAACTCAATAGTCTTGATAAACGACCAATCACAAAAAGTGCAACCAGGATTTGTGAAAGCACCTTTGACATCACTTTTGCAACACTTACGGCGACTGGATAGGTCATGTAATTGATGTTTTAATGACCTACATCTCTCCTGGTTTGTTAAAGACGAGAAGAAGTGCATTGCTGTGTCACATGACCTCCTTCTTCTCCTTCTCCTTCTTAGGTGTCCACAGCTCAGGAGATCATCCGTCACTTTGAGGGTCAGCCGGCTGATCTGGTGGTGTGTGATGGAGCTCCAGACGGTGAGACGCCGCTCACTTCCTGTCTGTCCAAACCTGTCCTTAAGTCTCTCCTGTCCTCCTGTCAACTTCCTGTTCTGTATCCATAGTAACCGGTCTCCATGACGTGGACGAGTACATCCAGGCTCAGCTCCTATTGGCCGTGAGTACGCTCAACGTTTTACTGATAACTCCTTTATGAACATTTTGTATTATTATTTTAATGTTGTATTCTATTCTGTCTTTATTTTGTACCTTGTGTGAATCCTGTTTTTAACTCGGACCCTGTTGCTGCTATAAACGCCTGCATTTCTCCAAGGGGATACATACAGTTCCATCTTATCTTTCACAGGTGTTTGTTTTCTGTGATGTCACACTGACCCCTCTTCCTGTTTGTCTCTCAGGCTCTGAACATCACATCTCACGTCCTGAAACCTGGGGGGACGTTTGTGGCCAAAGTGAGTCCAACATTTTATCAAAAATTCTGTACATTTTCTATTCCTAACTCACTCTTAAACTTGAAGCCTGTTAGCTTAGCACAAAGACTTGAAACAGGGGGAAACTGCTAGCCTGGTCCACCTTACAGCATCTCTAAAGCTCCCTAAAAATTGATAAATGTTGTGTTTTTGTCCAAAAAGCTAAATCATTGGACACAAATTGTTACTCTCGTTTATTCCCACAGGGTAATTATTTCAGGCAGTGGTTCACTTCTTTGCTGTTGGTGCTGTATGACACCTCTTCCTAACATAAAGCGAGGGAGAGACTGTCGTGATTTCTCCCACTGTCAAAAATAACCATTTCATCCTTTCTCAAAAGAGGCCCTGCTGTGCCCTTTGGGGTTTTTCAGTGTATGGTCTGCAAAGGCTAAAATCCAGAGTGTTACACAGTGACATGTTCCATGTGACATGAAGTAAACAAAGGACTTCAATGGAGGCGTTTCAGCCAGGGAAAGCCTTTGCAGACCATTTACATGCACACAAACCTATATACCACACTACAGCAGGGATGGGCAAATTATTCATTTATAAATATCGTAATTTATTAAAAAATAAGTACTTGTAGTACTGATACCGTCCACTAGTCACATGCTGCGTACATGATTTCGTTCGGCAGCCCAATACCGCAAAATAATCTGTGATGCGTTTGTGTGTCTTGTGTTTGTTTCCCGGGGCAACCCTCACAAGAAACAGCGGCTGTTGTTATGCCTGCTGTGACGTTAAGTTGCCTCTTGTAATTATGCCTTTACAAACTTACAAGTTGTATTTATCATCTGAATTTGGCGAAACAAGTTTAATATTCTTAAAACCAAGACTTTGTTTATTTGAAATCAGATGAAAACAAACTGTCACGGACCCTGCCGTGTTATCTATGATTACTATACGCTTTTCATTCATAATGTCAGCGGGAGGGAGGGGGGGGCGGCGCTGAGGAACAGCAGAGTGCGGGCTGACAGGTGTCTGTGTGGACACTCCCCTTATTGTGCGTCAGCAGAGGCTACAAGTGTCTTAGGTTCAAGTCAGACAACTAATGGTTAGTGTTCATGACTTCATGTTTATGTCATCTTATGGTTAATCTCAATACACACACATTTTCCGTGCTTTCCAATAGTTTAAAATAGTTTCATTCCACTGTTAAATAACCTGTTCAAGCCACTTGTAAACATTAAATAACATTTCTGTGAACTGATATTTGTTTAGTGGCTTATTGAGGATGTTCCCTGAAAGATTGTAAAATGTCAATGAAGATGTCATGGAATTTGTGTGTGTGTGTGTGTGTGTGTGTGTGTGTGTGTGTGTGTGTGTGTGTGTGTGTGTGTTCCAAGTGAATCTGCAGCCCCCTGGTGGCCAGTACATACATTATGTGGCCCCCACCACCATCCAAGTTGCCCATCCCTGCTCTACAGGGAAGGTAACCCCCCCCCAAAAAGCACATTAGGGCCTCTTTAATGCTTCCAATGTTTTGGTAAAGCACTTTGAATTGCCTTGTGTTAAAGCGTGCTACATAAATACGGCGTCAAACTGTTGACTCCTCCTCATGCTCCTGTGTTTCAGATCTTCAGAGGTAAAGACGTCACTCTGCTGTACTCCCAGCTCAAGCTCTTCTTCGGTGGTGTAACCTGCGCAAAGCCCCGCAGCAGCAGGAACTCCAGCATCGGTGAGCGACCAATCACAAGCCTCCAGCTCCTCTAGTTATTGTTTAACAGCCGGGACTTATGCTTAACAAACGCTTCAATATTAATTCATAGTATTTTGTATATTTTATTTTGTTCTTAAATATATTTTGTACATCTCTGTGTTTTATTTATTTAGTTAAGAGACATTCCTCACCATTTGGTTATTTATTAAAGTTGTTTTAGTTTTTCTATATAATAATTCTTCCTGAAAATTTGAATAAATTCAGGTTTAAGTTTGTAAGAAATAACATTTTCTCATTTAATTTGGTAGTTTCAGTGTTTTGAAATATATAATTCTGACATTAACTTCTGCATAGACTTGTTTTGTAGATAAACTGATTTTCTGGGTGACGTGTGTGTGTGTGTGTGTGTGTGTGTGTGTGTGTGGTGTGTGTGTGTGTGTGTGTGTGTGTGTGTGTGTGTGTTGTGTGTGTGTGTGTGTGTGTGTGTGTGTGTGTGTGTGTGGTGTGTGTGTGTGTGTGTGTGTGTGTGGTGTGTGTGTGTGGTGTGTGTGTGGTGTGTGTGTGTGTGTGTGTGTGTGTGTGTGTGTGTGTGTGTGTGTGTGTGGTGTGTGTGTGTGTGTGTGTGTGTGTGTGTGTGTGTGTGTGTGTGTGTGTGTGTGTGTGTGTGTGTGTGTGTGTGTGTGTGTATAGAGGCCTTCGTCGTGTGTCAGAATTACTCTCCTCCTGAAGGCTACGTCCCCAACATGTCCAACCCTCTGCTGGATCACGCCTACGGTAACTACCTGCCCCTCTTCCGCTTTGTGATCTGTGTCTGAAATAGGACACACATGTTCTACAATCAACTAGTTCTGCATAACAGATTTCTAAGTGTGACCCTTAATGTTTGACAATAATCAAAAGACCAAGATTTGACGCTGCTGTCACAGTCGAATCCGTCAGTAAAACATGTGTATAAAATGACGGATCATTCCATTTGGGCTATGTGGGGGTGTTGAGTGGCTTGAGATACAGGCTATTTTGATATGAGCCTATTTATAACACTGTTGATACATCTGAAAATAACGCATGTGCTTTTACTGAATCTTCTGAGTGTGTGTGTGAATAAATCCCCCTGTAGACCGAGTTGGACTATCCTAATTTTTGCGACCATTGGAGCAGCATGTAGCTTCAGAAAATACATATGAGAGCACTTCACATATTCTTACATAATGAACAATTCTCTGTTGAACTCAGCAGGAGGAGGTGTGTAGAAACAACCATTTTTTGCAAGTTAGACAAATTAATTGAAATCACATTTATTGAAAATATAATAATAATCTAATTTACTTTTGTAGCATTTCAAAAATAAGCTAAATGTTGTTTTGTTTTATAATGAAAGCCGTGTTTCATGGTCATATCCCTAAATATGTTTTGCACATTTCGGCACAGCCTTCCACTTAGGGCTGGGCGATTTGGCCTAAAAATAAAATCGCGATTTTTTTTTCTAACTAATGGACCATTTTCGATTTAAACCTCGATTTTTTTCTGTTTTTTTCTAAACAAACCAGACCAAGGCTCTTTTAAGTGAACGACGGGAGCCGGCTCTCGCCCGCGAACGAGCCGTTTTTTGTTTTTTTTGCGGAGGGATCTAGATCGGCATGAAGGCACATTATGCAATGTGCACATCTTCCCGCTTATTACACATGGCCACATTCTCAACAAAGTAACGACATGACTCCCAATATTAATGGAAATGCTTTTATGGATTTAGAAAATGATTTTATTGACTTAAAAAATAGTTTTATGTATTGATTTAAATTGACATGCATCCGCTAAGAAAAGTAGTCCGTTGTTACCGTTTGAACTAACGTAGCAACGGCAGGAACTGCTTCGATAGTGTTTTTGAGGAGCTTTTTGATTACAGATTTGAAAACATCGTTGCTTGCTTTAAAAGTAGCACAATTCATGATGTCAGACCTTGGGAAGTATCTAGATATCCCTGCCCTAATGCCAAAGTAACTGCCAACTGAATATGTGTCGCCGTTTGATGTCTATGTCTGGACCGCTGCGTAAAAAGGAGGGTTTCTGGCCCAACACGGAGGACGGAGATCTCTTTTTCTCCCCCTCTTCTGACAGCCCAGCAGCTGATCTCAAAGCAGGCTCCCCTCTCCTGCAGGGGGGCGTGGTCAGCTGCAGCTCACAGAATCAGCCCCCTGCAAAAACAGCGCTGGAAAAAGCAAATGGAGCGAAATGAGGCATGGCTAAAATGCAAGATATCTTTGGTATTTTGAAAAAAAAAAAAATGTATATACTTTATGTCGATACAGTAGCCCCTTTTTTAAAAAAATAGTTTGTATAGGTGTTGCTATCTGTTTTGTGCAGCGTGGTTCTACAAGCAAGTCAATGCATTCATTGGGTGGTATCAGAGATTTACACGGGTCTGTAAATGCAATGAAAACAATTGGCCACAGCAAATCATTTATATTAAACTTTATTTACTTTATTTACTCTTGAATACTTCAGTACAAAGGATGTATTGAATAATTGAAGTGATATGTGTACACAGAGCTGCAGATCGGGTAGTCACAGGCAATGTGGCTGAGTTTTCTGCGCGTTCTGGAAAGTGAGAGAGTAAGCTACTACGGAGTCCCTTAAAGCAAAACAAATCTGCGGAGTCTAGAAATGTTTTTAAATCGCGATTTTTCGGTTCAGCCATTTCACAAACCGTAGGAAAGTAAAAATGCAAATTAATCGTTAAAACCCAAAAAATCGCCCAGCCCTACTTCCACTTTAAAATATAAAACACTGCACCATGTATTTTAGTTTCTTTTGTATATCTTTCGTCTTTTTTTAATGCCAAATCGTTTTTTTAATCTTTATATTTCTGACCTTCTCTAACTACTTATATTCTCACAGGGTTCTTACGGTCATTAAAAACCTGGAAATGTCATGGAAATTCAAAATGCTAATTCCAGGCCCTGGAAAAGTTATGGAAAACAATATGTCCCAAAGTTTTGTAAAAGTCATGGAAATTTAACTAAAGTTGCATATAATAATAATATAATTTATATTTTATCTAATCGCCAAAATAGTAATACTACAATGATAATAAATACTGTATCGTATAGTAATGAAACGTAAAATGGCATTTAACTGACGAGGTGTTTTGCTGGTGAGAGATTTTAGTTTAGAACAGGGGTGTCAAACTCAAGGCCCGGGGGCCAAATCCGGCCCGCGACTTCGTTTTCTGTGGCCCCACAAGAGCTTGCAAAGAATATAATATGTTTACATGCTACTTTACAGAAGCACGTTGCCCATAAACTACATGTCCCACAATGCATCTCAAATTTGACTTTCTCAGAATTTGACTTTTTTTCTCATAAATAGATTTTGTTTTCAAAATGTTACTTTTTTTGTTTTGTTTTTCCAGAATGTGGCTTTTCTTTTAAAATCATTTTGTGACATTCTCACTGAAGAGACTTGCAATTATTTGCCCTAGACTTCTGCTTTCAGACGTAGTTAATTATGAAGTTATTACCCTATCCGATAATAATCCAATGCAGAGGCAACTATGTAATATAACACATTATTTTATATATATTCAATATTTATATATGTCTTTTTTTATATAGTCTTAAAGTTACAACCGGCCCTTTGAGTGCAACCATAATGCTGATGTGGCCCGCGATGAAATTTGGTGTAGAAGCTAGTAAGCCTATTTGATTTATTTTAGATAGGCACAACATGTTTCATATGCAGACCTTATTTTCCTGTTCCATGTTAAAATAAACCATTTTCAGTGGTACCGCCCAGAGAGTAATTGTTTTGGTCATGGAAAATTAGGAAAGGTCATGGAGAAGTCATGGAAAATCATTGGTAAAAAAGTGTATGAACCCTGTTCTTAAGTTGTTTATGTTTGCACCATCACACACTAAAGCAAATGCCTTGAATGTGTAAAACGTACATGGCAATAAACCCGATTCTAATTCTGATTTAGTTGTTTGTATTTTCAAAAGGTTACACACCTGTAGATCTCTGTTTAGTAGTCAAACTGGATCAGATTTTTGTTTTGTGTTCCTGAGTGTGTTCTGCTCTCCGTTCTCAGACGTGGACTTCAACCAGCTGGAGGGTCCGAACCGCGTCATCGTTCCCTTCCTGGCGTGCGGCGACCTCAGCGCCTTCGACTCCGACCGGACGTACCCTCTGCAGGTGAGGAAACACGTGGTTAGCTTTACTGAGGCAAGCTGAGGGGTCCCACGATGTAATAATTAGACTGAAGCGCTCCTTTGTGCACCAGTTAATCCTCCAATTAAATACGGAGCTTAATCCCAGGTCAATCTACTTATTTATCTAAGTAGTTATCACCGCAATAAACCGTATTTAATTTTGTCTTAATGTACATTATTTAATTTCATATTCTGTTCTTGTACATATCATATTCTATTGACATGTATATAGACTTTTTGCACAATTTTGTATTTTATTATATATGTATTGTTGGAGGAGCTCAGGTCAGAAGAATTTCATTTCCATTTCTACACTGTAGCTTATGTGCATATGACAATACAACTTTTTAATCTTGAATCTTGAATGTACGTTAGTGTTTCTCAAACTTTTTCATACCAAGGACCACTTAGCCAATAAAAAAAAACACTCGCTGACCACCTAACTCCACAAATATCCCAAAACACATCGTTTTTCTAGAACAGATTACAAAGTGCCTGAAAATGGTACAAACAAGTGGCAACATGTGTGACGAAGGTCTTGCCCTGGGCTATATCATGCAATAGAAAGTGAAACTTAAGCTCGCTCCATTGCGGAGATATTCCCGCGAGAGTGCAGAAAACTTAAATGTATTTAAAATGTGAAATTTGACCAATATACTCACGGACCACTAGGGGGCGCTCACGGACCACCAGTGGTCCGTGGACCACACTTTGAGAAGCACTGCGTTAGAGGGTCTTTGAGCTTGTTTTCTCTTCAGTGATCGTGATGTTATGTGAAATGTTGGTTTTGCTTGTATCGTGTCTTAATATTTGTCCTTGTTTGATGTTGAAATGAAGCTGATTTGATGCGAGAATCATTTCAGACTTGATCTTGGCTTTAGGAGCCATATGTTAAAATGTATAATTTGATATATTATGTGAATTATTTGAACATATTTCTTTGTTTTTGGTATTATTATATCAGTTATTTAAACCAGCAAAATTGACGTCATAGCCGACTGCACCTGCTGGTAATTAGAATGAAAAATAATCACGGAGCAACATCGTGTTTTTGCTTGATTAAAGGTCACCTATTATGCAAAATCCACTTCTCCACGTCTCTTCTACATCAACATGTGTCCCCTCTGAAAGTTTCAGGAACAAAGATTCTCTCTCTTTTTGATCCATTTCTATAAAAATCTGTCTGAAAATGAGCTGATCAGATTTTGGCCACTTTATGATGTCATAACGATGTTTTGGCTTGTGTAACCATTAGCCAATCAGCAACCAAGGTAACCCCCCCCCCCCCCCCCCCCCCCTATATCACCTTAGCAGAATTTAGTTCTTTGTAACCAAATGTCTCTCAGAGGGGCGTGGGGAGGGGCTCCTTATTTTCATCTAAAGTAACAGACAGAGAATCAGCACTTTGGAAACAGGGCTGAAACAGAGGGGATTATGGGTAATGCTGCAATGATCTGTTTGGTGTTTCAGCCAATCAGAGACATGTTGTGTATATATCTGAGACCTGTAATATATTGATGAAAAACAGTATAATAGGGGACCTTTAAAGCATTATTGTATTGTACTGTAATCCCAATCTCTCACCTGTTGATTCTTCAGCTGGACTCTGGTAAACAGTACGAGTACACCCCCCCCACGCAGCCCCCGATCTGCCCCCCCTACCAGCAGGCCTGCCACCTCCGAAAAAACAACCTGCTGTCCAGAGAAGATGCCAAACGTCCCGACCAGAACCAGGACGAGACGGGTCCAACAGCCGAGTCCAACTCATCCGTCTGACAGCTGCTGATCTGTGGGGAAAGTTACACAGCTTTTAAATGGAACAGTTTGATATTATGAGAGAGTCTCTTCTTTTCTGTCCGACAAGCAGATAGACATTTGTTTCATTTCCGTCCATTACAGAGGCCCAAGCATGTTTAGCTTAGCATAAAGACTGCTAGCCATTCCCTGCATCCAGTCTGTGTGCTAAGCTAGGCTAAACATGCTCTGGACTGTTTGCTGTACTTGGTATTTTTAAAGTCCTGGGAGTACGTGTTTACCACATTTGTCAGATTTTATGTTCCAGTATCTTTGGACAAATCTTTCATCCACCATGGTTGAGGAACTATAAGCATTTTGTATTTTAACAATAAAGTCATTTCTTTGAGGCGAACCAACATGGTGGTATTTTCAGTGTTATTAAACCCTGCATTATGTTATTTTTCTGTCATGCATTTCTTCATGCTTTTCTTAATAAACAGCCCTGCCCTGATCCAAGAGTTTAAGCTTAAGAATGAGGACACATTTTATACATCCAGTTCATCATTTAGTACTAAACTACATAAGTACAGTAATTGGAGAGTGTAGGAATACTCTGTTACAAGTAAAAGTCCTGCATACAAAATGTATCTCAAGTAAAAGTTACAATGTTTTGGGATCTAAATATACTTAAAGTACCAAACGTAAAAGTAGTCATAGTGCAGATTCGTCCATTTCAGGATAATATATGTGATATATTTTATAATTATTGATGGATTAAAGTGTTGTCAAAGCTGGTTAAGGTGCAGCTAGTTTGAATGACTTTGTATACTGCAGGGTAGCTTGTGAATTTACTCCAGGTGGAACTAACGTCTGATTTAAGAGTTGATCATATTGTTTATCATTAATATATATCTGTAACTAAAGGACTAGATACATATAGTGGAGTAAAAGTACACTATTTACCTCAATTATAGTGGAGTAGAAATACTCAAGTAAAGTACAAGTGTAAACAAAAAATGGTGTACTTGAGTAAATGTACTTAGTTACTTTACACCACAGCTTATGTATTTACTGCAAACTGGAAAAGCCCCCCGGCGTACCCACATAGTGGTTTACGCTATGACGTCATGACGTAAGGTCTCGCACAACCGCATTGTTGTTGGGGGAAGAGAAGCTTGGGCAGCCGCTGAGCTCTGCCGCTTCTCACCTCTTCTTCACGTTATTACACATCAGTAATAACCCTGTGCACAGTGAAATATAACACCCTGAGAACCGGCTCCGTCGCCCTGGATACCCGTGGCTCTCTCTCCATCTGCACTCGGTTCAGCGCTAGCCGTTGGATGATAAACGGACTGAATGTGGATTTAACTGCCGCTTCGCTCCGCAGGCCGCGCCGCCATTGCTGCTGTTTTTATAAGCTGAATTCGTGAAAATACCGAGGTAAGTTCAGTCTCACTCCACCCTCAAGTCTTTATTATCACCCCCAAACAGTGCGGGCTGGTTTACATCTAAAACCAGGCATTGCTGCTCTGAAGAAAGGCCTTTATTTTACCCAAAAAGAGGCAGTTTCTTGTTGTGTTTGTCGCCATATTTCCTCCCCCCCCTTCAGTTAGCTGTAATGCTAGCAGGCTAGTTTGTGGACGGAGTGTCCTAATGCGTTTAACCGACCAAAGGAGAGGGAGGACACCGAGGAAAGGACACCGCCTGGTCGTGGTTTCTTCCAACAAACATGTTTGGAGTGTTTCACGTTAAAGCTGTGACTAGAAATAAGAGAACATAAACGTTGTGTTTTGGTTAAAGAGGAGCTAACGGTAGCTAGTGGCTAGCATACCATTCAACCTAGAGAAACCGAACGAGCTGCTGTTAGCCGAGCATTCTCCGAAAACCAGCAGCTCTCTGCGGCTTCATGCGGAGCAGCTGAGCCCGCCGGAGGCTCGCTGCAGTCGGATATGAGTTGTGTGTTGCTCTGGGCACATTTCTTTCATTCATCAAGTGAACGCTATCGCAGTGCCAATCTGTTTCCGCCCCCTTTAAATACACTCTGCAGCAGCCAACTGACATCATGCTCTCATGAATTAAACCCGAACCTCAGAGTACACTAACGGGCCAATACTGTTTATGTTTAAGTTGCACAATAAAGGGGAAAAGCAGCTGTGTAGACACATTCTGTTTCATCTGCTGTCAACATACTAGATGGACAGATAACATGGAACACGCTAAATGTTGCAGGGGATGTTGCAACACACACACACACACACACACACACACACACACACACACACACACACACACACACACACACTGTGGTGGAAAAGGCACTCAGATATTTTAAGACATGCATCGGAAATATCACCGGCTTTTAAAGTACTGTGTATTATTCCTGCTTTCAAGATTTTGAGTTTAAACACAAAAGTATTAACTTACTCAAAGTACTTGTTATGAAGAATGTCCTATTTAGTGTACTAAATAACTGAATTATAATCCTTCAGTTATTCATGTATTGTATAATAAAAACCTGCAACCTTATAGGAAACTGAAGTGATCCAATATATGTGTCGAAATGTAGTTCAGTATTATAAAACCGAAATCCTGAAGTACAACTTTAGGGTAGTTGTCCTTTGTACTTTAGTGTTTGCACTTTGTTGCATTCTCTATCCAAGGAAAAGGTGTTGCTGTGTTAACAAAAAACCTCTCACAGAGTTCACTGACTGATTCATTGGTTTTGTAGTCTTTGTTAAACACAGTTAGGTGATCAATATGAAACCTGTTGTATCATCCAAGGATCATTTATTTGCCTTCTAAGAGTCATGGTTGCACAACACAATGCAGTGCGGTCCATTTGTGCTGCAAGAGATGCACGCTACAGGACAGTAGCACATGTTCAGGAATGTAACCGGCAGCTACCAAAACAATGTGGAATAAATGAACATCAGGGAAACATCTCTGTTTGCCAGGTGTTGTTAATGTAAACACAGTCTGTCTCCTTCCTCACTGCAGTCCTGGGCCGTCAATTGCAATAGCTGTCACAGCAGTTTCTTATTTCTTCCATAGTATGTTCCTATAACCAGACGTCATCCAGGAGCAGTCTAAGTGGTTGCTAAGCTTGAGGTCCTAGCAGGGGGGGTTCCCACCTTCCTCTCCCGGTCTGTCCGCTCACTGGAGTTTGCTCCAGCTGGCTGTGTGGACAGAAGTTTCCGTGGGCTCGTCTGTTGCACTTTATCCAATCCCCACGCGTCCTTTTCTTTTGTAGTAGTAGCACATATAACGAATGGTCAATTAGTGATAAGCTCTTTTGTAATGAGGTCCTTGAGGTTATCTGCATTAGTAAAACATTGATAGTGTTTATAAAGGGCTGGCTTATCTAAAGCCAGTTGAGTAGCACTTGAAATGTTTTGGCTCTCTGAAACCTGATGTACTTATGATTCTGTTTTCTTCAAGTTTGTGTCTTCTTGGTCGAATGCACTTATTGTAAAAGCCTGGGCTAAATGTAATGTGTTTTACGCTTGTTCTGTATCAGAATTCCAACTAACTCGCAAAGATGAAATGTGTGTTTCGACTGGAAATAATTCTGGTCCTCGTCCTATGATTAAAGGCGGGAAGAGGTGATGACATCGTTGTGTAAACACAAGCTGCCCATCATTACTTATGCAATGTCTCATTGAGGGTTGAGGATATTAATCGTTACTGCAGGTTCTGTTAGACCCTGCTCTGTGTACTGGTTGTTGTTCTGCAGAGTTAATGATGGGAAACGCTGCCACAGCATCCTACGAGTCTTTCATTCAGTGTTTTTCTGGATTTCAGGGTCTTTAGGCTTCATAATGAAGAAGAAAATTCGCCATCACCGGCCTGCGGTGCTGAAGAGAGATTCCTCTCCCATCAAGCCGTCGCCAAACCGCGAGACGCTGACATATGCAGAGGCGCAGAGAATTGTAGAGCTGGAGGTGGACGGCCGCGTTCACCGGCTCAGCATCTACGACAAGATGGACGTCATCTCCGACGACGACCCCACGGCGCAGGAGATCATGGAGTGCAACAGCAACAAGGAGAACAACGAGAAGCCCCAGCAGGTCCTGGTGCGCTCTGTGCGCCTCAAAAACAACCAGCAGAAGAAGAACGCTGCACTCATGGCCTCACACGGTATCACCAGCACACACAGCAGCACCACCGGCCTGTTGGAGGCAAAGGTTAGAACGGTGGAATACAACCTTCCGGTGGTGCCCAGGAGGCCGTCGGCGTATTACAAATACACGGAAAGGACGGCGGAGGAGTTGGACGAGGAGGTGGAGTACGATATGGACGAGGAAGACTACGCCTGGTTGGAGCTCTTCAATGAGAAGAGGAAGAACGATGGCATCAGTCAGGTGTCTCACAACCTGTTTGAGTTCCTCATGGACCGCTTTGAGAAGGAGTCGTACGCAGCTACGCAGGGTCAGAGCGACCTGCAGTCGCTGGTGGACGAAGACGCTGTTTGCTGCATCTGCATGGATGGAGACGGAGCTGACAGTAACGTCATCCTCTTCTGTGACTCCTGCAACATCGCCGTGCATCAGGAGTGCTACGGCGTGCCGTACATCCCCGAGGGCCAGTGGCTGTGCCGCCACTGCCTGCAGCGTCCGTTGCGGCCTTCTGAGTGTGTCTTCTGCCCCAACAGAGGCGGAGCCATGAAGAAGACTGACGATGACCGCTGGGGCCATGTAGCATGCGCCCTGTGGGTGCCCGAGGTCGGCTTCTCTGACACTGTTTTCATCGAGCCCATCGACGGTGTTCGTAACATCCCACCGGCGCGCTGGAAGCTCACCTGCTACCTGTGTAAAGAGAAGGGTGCAGGAGCGTGCATTCAATGCGACAAAATCAACTGTTACACCGCCTTCCATGTCAGCTGCGCCCAGAGGGCCGGCCTCTACATGAAGATGGAGCCCGTCAAAGAAGTGACGTCGTCCGGCTCCGCTACCTTCTCTGTGAAAAAGACCGCCTACTGCTGCAGCCACACGCCCGAGGGCTGCGACCGCCGGCCGCTCACCATCTACGACAAGCCGCATCCCAAAAATGGAGCCTGCCACAAGAGGGCCGACAAGAGGGGGAAGTACCGGGGCAAAGGCTGGCAGAAGAAGAAGAGTAAAAGAGGGGAGCCAGAACCAGAGCATGAGACCCCCACCAACACTGGGCCCAGTATCACTGCTTCAAGGTAGGCACTGAACTCCTGTTCAACATAATGCTGTATAAACCTGGAATGATCAGAAATCATGTAATAGGAGTTTAACGGGTCAATAAACAGCAGTCTGACCATCATAACCGACTTAATGCAGATAACAATAATATAAAGCTTAAAATATAGAGAATGTTGCTCTTTAATTCTAAGTGTTAATGGAAGAACATTTCATTGTTTCCCCATCAGTTTCGACACCATCCTGAACCAGGTGGCGGTTCAGAGGAAGCGTGTCTTCGTGGAGCGAGTAATGAGCTACTGGGTGCAGAAGAGGCAGTCGAGGAACAATGTGCCGCTGATCCGCCGGCTGCAGGCCAACCCTCAGCCTCCCAAAGTCAAGAAGTTGGTCAGTGCTGCCGACATAGCGGAGCATTGTCCTGTTAATGTCGTTCTACCCGCTCCAATTAAGTTGGTTTGTCCGCTGCAGAATCGCATGGAGACGAATCAGGCGCTGAAGGAGCAGCTGAAGGAGTGGCACCGCCTCCGCCACGACCTGGAGCGAGCGCGCCTGCTGCTGGAGCTCATCAGGAAGAGAGAGAAGCTGAAGAGAGAGGAGGTACAGCCACTTCAGCTGAATAAAATAACAATGGGTTAAATTCATAATGATGCTATGTAGTTACGAACATTTTCACCAAAAGCCGTCCAGGTTTGAGTGATACATTTGATTTCTGAACTAACGTATTTAAAAAGTTTAAAGTATAATCCCCTTGGGCTGTGCTTACACATTTGATCACTCCACTGTTTGTGAAATATGTGTTTTATTTGACTTAAACATGCTTATATTTGCTGTTTGTACCGCAGAAACATTATTATTTACACAAAGAAAGTCTTTTTCTGAGTTTGAATCATAAAAGGAGTATTTATATATACATAATAAGGCTTTATATTTGCTACCAATTTCACCAAAACCTACCAGATTTTGTTCATTAGTTGGATTTTAGTTTGAAAGATTATTGAGACGTAACATCAAGGGGACTGCCCTCTTTGATTTGCATACACATTTGATCACACTAACCTATGTTATGTTCCTCAAACACCTAAATGTGGTCGTTGTCATGTGACTTCTGTACCACGAAAATGTTTTGTTTAAACAAATAAAAATAATAAGTTTATTTAGTATAGATGAGAGAAACACCTGCGTCACTTCCGGGTGAAAATCACGGCCCCGCCCACTTTTGGGGGGAAACAACGCTGTGTTTGAATGGCGATCAATTCAAATTCGGAAGTCTGGCAAACAATTAAAACTGATTTTAATTTACCCATATATCGAGCCCGATCGTCAATTTCCAGTGATTTAATGTAATAGTTCGCCTGACTGGCCGTAGTAACCGGGCGCTTTGAAGATCCAGAAATCCACGGTTTTCTTACATTTCTGATCGGATTGGTAAAAACTTCAGAATTTGAATTGACCGCCGTTCAAATGACAGCTTTGGTTCCCCCCAAAAGTGGGCGGAGCCGTACTTTTTGCCCAGAAGTGACGCATGTGTTACTCTCATCTATCGCACCTTTCACAGAAATAGAATTCACAAAGTGCTTCACAAGAAAGAAGAAAAGTTAAAAACTAAGACCACAGAAACATGAATACAATAACAACCATAAAAACACAGACCACGTGGAGTCCCGAAAGGAACAAACATAAGAACCGAACACACACATCTCAAGTAGAAACAAAAGCCAATGTAAAAAGATAGTTATTCAGTAGTTTTGTTAAAAGCTTCTGCAGAGACAGCAGAGCGGATGTCAATAGGGAGAGAGCTCCATAGTGTTGGAGCCACCACTTGAAAAGGCACGGTAAAAAAAACGACGCTAACTTGTGTTCTCCCGTCAGATGAAGCTGCAGCAGTCGGCGCTGGAGGTCCAGCTGACCCCCTTCAACATCCTGCTGCGAGCCGTGCTCAGTCAGCTGCAGGAGAAGGACCAGTACAGCATCTACGCTCAGCCCGTCAACGTCAAGGAGGTCTGCCTCGTTTATCAGTCTGTTCAAATATCTGAGTTATCGTACGTCAATTACACTGTGGATGTGGAGCCATGGTGAAAACATATGTGAATGTATCTACTAAGGAGGCTATGGTTTGTTTTGGTTTAATTGTCTGTCTTTCAGCAAGGTTAGGAAAGAAAACCTACAGGCACTATATACATACAATATTGTTTAAGGCAGGGGTGCCCAACCTTTTTTGAACCGAGAGCTACTTTTAAAGTTGCCAGTCTGCCGAGATCTACCAGTCCCAATAGAGAGGCGTAGCCATTACTGACAGCCTGCTACCAGGTGAATACACACTTCTACTTGTTTAAAACTGACCTTTCTACGATTAATACTTCATAAAATACTGCAGATCCTTTATCTTACCTCTTTCTAATCTACACACATACAAGTATTTAACTGAAGTTACACAACAGTGTTGTTGATACAGAGTTGGTGTTTATTCACACGTCACTACAGTGGGTAATGTTTTCAAGAAACATTGAACAGTGCTGCCACAGATGACTCAGGAAGAAAAGAAAAGACTCTGAACCCTTTCTTTGCCATTATATAAAAATAGTGTTGCTACAAAAGTATAAATTAGCCTTACTAATAAGACAACTCAGATCTGAAGCTACTCAGGAATCTGCTGCCAACGTGCAATAAAAGAGACAACATTAATAGAATCAAACCCTTTTTTGTTGCATTTTATTAGAGTATAAAAAGAAATGCCTTTAAAATAGGATGCAAGCAACACTAGCTTCTTAACCTGAATTGATAATAGACTATAATCAATGTAAACAGAACAGATCTTAATGTTTGCATTCTTATACCATGTTGTACAATAATTATAATGAATAAGTTCAAACAAACTAAAACTTACAGCTGATCAGAGGTTGCGCTAGACTTTTTCGCTGCCCGTCATTTTGACGGACAGGATCGTAAAACTTCCGTCAAAATCCAGAATTACCCGTCGGCCTTTACACAACTCTGACGAGGGGGGGGGGGGGGACAGTTCATGGCTGTTGCACCTCGCGGGAGCGTGCACAGCGTAAAGCCAAAACTCACAGACATTTCAATGATCTGTACGGCACAGTTAGGTTTGGAAACGGTATCATTTCCTTTTTGGAGGGCATGCATAACACGGCATAACACCGGAGCCTCGCTGCGGGGGAACTTTGGCGCTGTTCCGAGTTTGTTCTAATCAGTCAAAATGACGGACTGCTTTCAGATTTGTCCGCCATTGTTAAAAAAAAAACGTCATAGACGGAATATATTCGGTTAACGCGACCTCTGCAGCTGATTAATAACGGTATCTAACTTGAGTTTTTATTATATCAAAAACCTGTTGAGATGCTTCTGTTATTTTTACTGTCCCCCAAAAGCGCGTCGCAGCCTCCAGGAATGCTTCTTTCACAACTTCGCCGTCTTTGAAAGACTTCATGTGTTTCGCAAGAACGTGACTGACACGATAAGATGCTCTGGTAGCAGCCTTGCTCTTGTTGTTGGGCCTGGTGAAAATGGACTGCTGTGCATTTAGCTGTCCTTTCAGGCCCCTCCCCTTTTGGAGCGTAGGGCAGAATTAGGAGGGAATTCCGTCTCGTAACGTTTGTGCACTGTTTTGAAATGCCGCTCCTAAATTACTCTTCTTCGATAAAGCCACGCTCGCATTGCAGATGAGACAGATGGACTTTGAATTGGAATAGATACAAAAATAATCATCCTCCCGCTCGGAGTGAACATTATATATGTTGGGCTTTTTTTGCTTCTGCCATAATTGCGGTCTCTTGTGTGTGCGGACTGTCACTCCTGTTGCCACGGACAACGTCAGCGAAATAGTGCCCACCAGCCACGCCCCGACACATGGGGTCACGCCGGCCAATCACAAAGCTTTGGTGCGTTCAAGTGCATTATTCTGGCACGGGAAGATTATGTTATAGGACATTAACGATAAAACAGAATATTGTTGTTCTATTTTTAGACACATCGACTGGTTGGGCACCCCTGGTTTTAGTTTGGGCCATGAATAAACTGATTGAATTCGAAGCGGATCTGAATGACGGGGCACATACAAAAATGATGTACAATGTTTGATAGCATTTTGACTAAAGAGACTTTTGTGCTGCATTCATGTGGTGTCGTAAAAATCTGGAAAAATGAGTTCCCTACTTGGAAAATTCATATAAACGCCTCAGAAAGAAGAAACAGCCATCAATGTGTTTCCGCGTTACGACCTAAAGCGCAAGTCTGAAAAACGATTTAGCTAAACGGGGACCATCCGAGGAGCACCTGAATGCACCATGGGTTGACAGAGGTCTGTGCTTTCCATCTGGAGCCCATTGTAGTTTCCACTGTAAGTATAACGCTACTAGCTGTTATGAAAAGGGTAAATCATTATGGTGAAAAAGACATTGTGGCAATAGATGTCTGCTATTAAACGACTCATCGACTGGCACACATTGTACAAAGTGGATCTCTGAAAGTCTCTCTCGGTCTCCAACGTGTCCTCTTGTGTCTCCTGCAGGTCTCGGACTACCTGGACCACGTGAAGAACCCCATGGACTTCTCCACCATGAGGAAACGCATCGACGCTCACGAGTACGGGAGCCTGGACGACTTCGAGGCCGACTTCAACCTCGTCATCTCCAACTGCATGAAGTACAACAGCAAGGACACGTTCTTCCACAAGGCAGCTCAGCGGATGCAGGACCACGGGGGGGCGATCCTCCGCAGAGCCCGCAGAGAGGTGGAGAGGATCGGCTTCGACTTCCCCAGCGGGCTGCATCTCCCCGAAGCCCCAAAACCAGCGGCGCCAACCCCCTTCTCCTGGGAGGAAGGTACGAGAGATCATTAGTTGTGTTTTTACATGTATGAGGGTTTTCAGTCTGTGGCTACACGTATGGATTTATTTTACCGTGCTTTTACATTAGTTTATTTTTGTCCGATCGGTTTTGTCTAAATGTATTTATGCTGCTTTTCATATATATTTATTGATGTACAGCACTTCGGTCAACTTTTTAAAGTTTGATTGGATCGGATTAGGAAATAGAAAATCTATCAAGGAAAGAAATGATAATCAATTAACTGTTAAAGTCATTTCTCCGGTAGCATGTTTTGATCCTAGTTTATTTAATTTCGCCTGTTGGGATCTGAATCTCTGCTGGAGTTTTGTCTACTTATCGGGCAGTGGTGATCATTTGTGTGCTTTGTTACATTCCACCGCTGACTAATGGGTGGACTTATGCATGGTCAACATATTTGTAGTTTTGTTTTAAACCTAACCATCAAACCTCCAGCAACAACAAAACATTTGCCGTTTATATTTTCATACAAAAGTGGCAGAAAAGACTGTTTTTAGATTTGAATTCTCTCAAAAATGTTTGCTAGCTTCACTCTGAATTGTACTATATCAAACTTAATTTACTTGCATTTCCAACTGACAAAACAAGTTATCAACTTTGACTTTTAGAGACGATGCATGGTCAACATATTTGTAGTCTTGTTTTAAACCTTACCAACAAACCTTCAACCCAACAACAAATGATCCTACATGAAACTTAATCTAGTTGCATTTTGGACTGACAAAACAAGTTACATAAAGTAATCAACTTTGACTTTTAAAGAACGAGATGGCCTTTTTAGACGATTTTCATTTTAAACACCAAAACATTCATTTAGAAAATAACAGTATATATATTATTAGCTGTGCCTGATTGATGTTATGGAGCTAATACTGATGCTACTACCTGATGTCTCCCTCAGTGGACCGGCTGCTGAGCCCCTCGTACCGCCGGCTGACCCCCCTGGAGGAGCAGCTGAAGGAGCTGCTGGAGAAGCTGGACCTGAGCACGGCCATGAAGCACAGCCCGTCCCGCAGCAAGAGGCTCAAGCTGCTCAAGAAGACCATCATGGAGGTGCGCAGCGAGATGAGCCTCAAGAACTCCCTCAGAAAGACGACACCAGCGACGGCCCCCAAGCCTGACTCATCAGAATCAGAGGAGAAACAACTACCTGAACCCCCGGCAGAGCCTTGCTCGCCCCCCGAGAAAAAGCCTTCCCCTTCGCCCACGTTAGAGCTGTTAGCGTCGCTGTCGCAGTTCCACTCCTCGTCTGGTGACTCGAAACCTCTGGAGTCCGTCAAACCTGGCGTCCCCATGGAGCTCGACGGCGACACATCTACCTCAGAGTCCCCCAACAAGCCCAACGGACACGCCCCCGACCCGCCTCTCTCCAACGGCGACATCCACATCAGAGCCTCTGGCGCCTGTAACCGACGCAACAACAACGTCTTCTTCCGCAAGTCCAAGAGCGCCAGCCCCCAGAAACCTCACAAAAATCAGGGGGCGTCCGTCGTGTCGTCGCCGCTCGGTGCCAAAACCTTCCTGTCGGTGGTGATCCCTCGCCTGGAGACGTTGCTGCTGCCCAAGAAGAGGAGACGCAGCAGCAGCGCCGACGGAGACGAGGAGGACGAGGAGTCGCCGATAAAACGCCTCGGCACAGGTAAGGACTCGTGTTTCAGTTAATGATTCAAAGGCTTTATTGTCATATGCTCAGTAGCTACAGGGTAGATACGGCAATGAATATCTTAGGCGGGGCCTCGTTCTTTCCTATGAGAGCTGCTCATTGGCGCATGAAGACAAAATGGCCCAACTTTTGAGGGAGCGAAACGTCACGAAAGTATTCATATAATCATATAATCCGTTCTTATTGTGAATCCATGGGTAACGATAAACTCATGTAGTGCTGAACACGTCACATGAACGTGCCGGGCGGCGCGGTCCCGTGGGTTAGATGCGCGTTCATAATGCAGAGGGAAATAACTCTCAGAATAACGTTATTAGCACATTTTACAACTTGAGGACCGAATGTTTTTAATAAGGGCTATACAAACGTTCATACTGGGTAGTTCATTTAGTTTAAAAAAAATTACCCAACGATTTACAGACGTCTCTTTCCCAATGTTAGTCAATGGGAAAAAGTGTTTCCGGGCCCAGCGACGGTACGGAAGTGTAGTACCGCCATTTGGCCACAACGAATATTTTCCTCAAAGAGTCCGGCGCACTTCCTGGGTGCTTGGTATGTGCGCTCACAGAGCATGCGCCCCTTAAGACGTCTGATTTACAGACGTCTCTTTCCCAATGTTAGTCAATGGAAGAAAGTTGTTTTGGGCCGGGTGACGTCACAGACTGATACGGAAGTTGCAGTACCGCCGTTTTGACACAACGAATGTTGGGCACAGAGTCCAGCGCACTTCCTGGGGCCTTGGTGTGTACCCATAACCCTGAACTATACTGACAATGTTTCTGTTCTTTTACCTTCAGGCATAGTGAACGGTTTTGTGGTGGAGGAAGAAGGGGAAATCTCTCCGTCTCCACGACTGCTGGAGCCTCGGCGCCGCTGTGCCTCCGAGTCGAGCATCTCCTCCAGCGGGAGCGTCCTCTGCAGCACCAGGTGAGTGCGGAGGAAAAGAACAGACACTGTGATGGGACTCATCAGAATCAGAATCGGTTTTATTACCAAGTAGGTTTACACCAGTGGCGTTTCTATATGTACAAAAGTGGTGGGGCACAAAAACACTTAGATGTCTATATATAAGCTTCTGCAGTGAGGTTCATGGCTGCTGAGGCTCTGACTCTTCAGGTTTACAAATATTATATTTTGACCTAAATCAAAATATAATATTATTTTCAAAAGCCTCTTTAGTCTGATGCTTCAATTCATTTTAAACAGACAGTTCAATAGAAGGATACCCAACAAATGTAATTGTATCATTTAAATATTGAATTGTTCTCTCTCAGTAAGATCCCAGTTTCAATAAAATTGCGGTCTTACCTTGACTTGAAGATTAAGTCCATTTGCCTATCCTTCTGGACAAACATCTCTATTACTTTTTTGTAAAAGTCCTCCTTATGTTCTTGTAGTTTCAAAAGTCTATCATAAATCTAAATGATGGATTTATGATTCGAAAATGATAAAAGTAGGGTAGACATGTGGATATTATCCGACTGAACAAAACGTGCATGTATCTAACAGCTACGTTTCCCACAGATCTTATTTTGAGCTATTTTCTAAAATCCTATAGAGAAATCTCATTGCTTTTTTGTGGAGGGAAGCCATGCGCAGCTTACTTCCTGGTTTTAGGACGAGTCTCTCTCCTCCTCTTCACCTGCTCTTCACACACCACACTTTTCGCGGCACACGTACTTACAGCCAATCAGCTCTGAATGATGTGAGATGACGTATGGTGGGGATGGCAGCTCTATGCCCCTATGGTCATTATTTTTTGCCATATACATTAAATAGGAAAATACTCTGAGCATGCGCAGTGTAGTTTTTATAGTCACCGTTCACTTAGACAGTGAGAGGGAGGGGCAGGATCGGGTTTTGTCCCACATGGCTCTAAACAGCTCAATAGGCACACACTGTAGACACTAATTAGAAGAACACATACTAAAACAACAATGAGACGAATCAGATTATTAAACATGATCTTAAAATATATTTTAGATATATTTTAATGAATTTTTTGCATTTTGTTGTAATCATTATTTTAATACTTCCTGCTGACACTAGGTGGGGCTGTGCCCACCTGCCCCTAATGTCCAGTCGCCACTGGTTTACACATACGAGGTATTTGCTTTGGTATCAGCTGGATAGTTTTGCAATCATTTCCTTCAGCGATGACGATATGACAGGAGAAGTTAGTAGCTGAGGTCTACAGGGGACTTGGAGCAAAAATACCAAGTTGTATAAAAACAGATTCCCTTTTTTTAACTCACTGGGTGTTTCTCAATGTCGAGGACGCTTCCTTGGTAGGACAGGTCTTCCGAGTCACTTCCTTCAGAAGCTAGGCAAGAATCCTTCCTGGCATTCGGAGAACGAAGAGTGGAAGAGGCGAGCAAGTGTGCAGTTGTGCGTCATATGAGAGGCCGCGCCTTAAATGTGCCAACACAGATTTTGGGAAATTGGTCCGTGCGCAAAGCATTGTGGGGATTTTAAGACCGCGGAGGATACACATGTGCAGCCTCGAAATGTCTCGCTACGAAGGACGCCGGGCTCGGTAGAATTCCAAGGAGCCTGGACATTGGAACAGTCCTTCGGCGGCACTCGATGGCGTAGCATCCTTGAAATAGTGGCTCTGGAGCATCCTTCCTTGACATTGAGAAACACCCCATGTCCTGTACTGGAAGCCTAACCTTTGATTCGGCTTTGATATTCCTTACATGTAAAGTTTGAGAAACACCGTATTTTAATTGTTTTCCCGTTCTAACAAGAAAACACTTTATCTTCTCGTAAAACACAAGAATATTAAAACAAATATTACCCTTTTTACTTTTGTTTTCTCTCGTCGATCGACTGTAAGAAATCATTTTGCATGTGCTGAAAATGAGAAGAAATATAATAAAATAAAACTACTAGAAAGACCTTGCTGTAATTTAAATGATCACACTAACAGGAAGCTTGGGATATTTAGTTTTAGTGTGTAGGAGCCGCATTTAAGTTTATTTTGTTTTGATTTATTTGGAACCTTTATTAATGCATTTTTCTGTTTCAGTGAGAGGTGTGCTTTGCTCAGGTGAAGGGGGCGGGGCTTTAAGTTGGAGGTGTGCTTTGCTCAGGTGAAGGGGGCGGGGCTTTAAGTTGGAGGTGCGGTGTGTGACGGGAGAGCAGCAGGCAGCAGCAATACCGTCATTGACACGCAGACGCAACCTTATACTTAGTCAAATACAGATTATTAGGATCTGCTGTTTAAGTTTATGTTAAATATTGTTTTGCTGGAAATAAACGTTGAAAAGCAACGGAGACGTCCAGTGGATTGTGTGCTGCGAGTCTGACACTGCTTCCAGGCCCAAGCTCTACATGTGGCCAAGAACAATCACTTTTGACAAACTTTTGGGATTTTGGCCACTACAAGTATTTAGTTACTTTGGTTTGAAAGTTTATCCGCAGTTTCAGACCCTCCACACTCGAGATGTTTCGTACCTTTTCCCTTACCTTAGCTTTTCCTTCGTCTCTTCCAGCACCGTCATCGTGCCTAAAAGCGGTAAAGGGCGGTCGCCGGCGGCTCGACGGAGCACGGTGGACGATAAGAGCACTCTGATGACCTGCATCGAGAACGGGGCGTTCCCCAAAGCTGCCAAAGTGTCTCCAGGTGAGTCGAGCACCGTCCGTCCGCCCGCCTGCATGAAACCGCACGGCACGCTTTCCATCCGCTGATTTACTCATTAAAAACTCTGTAAATATACTAACCCTGTTAATGTGCCGGTGTATATTGTTTTATTCCCTCACAGTCACTTTCTTTCTACGGTTCCTCCTGCGCGAGCCAATGAACAGAGAGGTTAAAGTCGGTTTAAATACAGTTTACCAAACTCACACTGGGTTTCAAACGGAGGTTCAGGGGCCCCTCGAGGTCCTGCAGGAAGTCAGCAGAGACTCCAAGCTGCAGCCCTACAGGAAGTGGTGAAAAAAAACAGGAAGCATGTGATCGAAGTGTTCAGAGAGTTGTAGAATCACATTACGACTACTCGGACAACAACATCCAGTCCATTCAGCCGATTATCTCTGGTTTTTATCATACACATCTAGTCTCATTCGATTAAACACTTTTATCCGGTGGAATAATAAAGTATAATATATTAAGAAATACACAGCAGAAGAACATGTGCAAAGCTGAGCTGAATAACATAAACAATTCAGAAAGCAATGCTTTATTTGATCACAATTTGATTAACAGAAATACTAGAGTTACTACACAAAAGTAGGACTTCTGAAAATGACATTACACGATCCACTCGAGAGAAGAGGTCTCACTCTGTTCGATTTGTAGGATCTAGAAAACGACAGCGGATTACAGAGAGCCTCAGTTCATTCAAAGAAAACAGAAGCTCCTCACTAACTGTGTTGTTCTCTGATCTGTGATTGACAATGTGAGGGAATCTGAGCTTAGTTACATCTGCAAAGCTCTTCATAATCGCACTCTAGGTTTCCAACGCAGTGAAATACTTGTGTCCTTAAAGGTGGGGTCGGTAAGAATGGAGAAAGCAGCTCGAGATCGCGAGAATTTGAAAATACACAACCGGAACAAATCTGCCACTTCCTCACAGAGCCCCTCCCCCAACACACACGAACGCGCACATGACCAATGAGGGCACGAGATAGAAGGCTGACAGGCAGGTAGGCCATCCAGTTACTTTAGCCGGCTCAGAGGATTGGTCGAGCTTTTCACAGCGCCACGGCTTCCACAGATTAGATTTATTATGTATTTATTGTCAAAGCATTTAATGTATTCATTGCTATCGGGAAGTTAAGAGCATTCCATGGAATATATAAGTGTTTCTGAAGTGAATGACCTACCCCACCTTTAAGGAGACAACTTCGTTTCGATTCAACTAAATATTTTCCTCTTACTAAAAACTGTACAAATAGACGTGTAATTGTTAGGAAGGAGTTGCGCTTTGACTGACGTGATGACACAAATGAAAGGCGTTTAACCGTAAGCATGATTATTTGTATCGATGTTTTTAACTTGCATCTATGATATGTGTTCATTGAATACCTACACCTCTATCCATATTGATGTTGCATTACATATTTTCTTGCGTTTGGTTTTCCACGTTCTTACAGTCTTTGAAAAAAAACATTCCTTCATCAGAATCTCAAGTGTTTTTTTAAAGGTACTCTTTAAAAAAGTGTGTGTGTGTGTGTGTGTGTGTGTGTGTTGCTCTGAATACTTCATAACCTGCTTATCGTTGTTCCTGTAGAGGTGTGGAAGCCCCCCCCTGCCTCTCCATTTGTTCTGGAGCCTCTTAAACTAGTTTGGGCTAAATGTAGTGGATATCCGTCCTACCCCGCCCTGGTGAGTGAGTGCTTGTCTCCCCCCTCTGTGTCTCATTACCCATCAGCCCCTCTGCCATCGTGCGTGCAGTAGCTCGTGATTTGTGCTCACAGCCACGCGGGAGCTTGGCCCATAACGGACTGCTTGTTGTTTGTGGCGTCTCCGCTCAGAGCGCCTCGGCTCGTGCATGCTTGTGTCTCCGCCTGCAGGAAACTCTCCGCCCTGTCAGCCTCTGTCCGTTTCCAACCCAGTTTAGATCTGACCACGCCCACTTTGACGAGAACCATTTCATATTGAATAATCCATTTCTTGCACAATTAATGTATATATAATATCCTGCATTATATTTTGTTACTCGACGTTCTACTTTTTAATCCCATTTCATTTGTACTTCAGAAATAGTTTGGATTGTTTATTTCTAGTGTCTTAATTGCTCTTATGTACATTCCCTTGTTTTTTATGCTGCTGCAAAGCAAACATTTCCCAAATTAGGATCAATAAAGTACGTCTTATCTTCCTATCCAACGGAGCTCTGCAGGGCTGAGTACGTTTGAATTAAGAAGACAAACTAGCAAACAATATGCAGCCTAATAGTGCGTTTATTTTGTTTGTCACGTTTTGTACACAACTACAGGATGAGTTTATGACACACACACACACGGCAAGTTTAAATATATAGCACATTTCAACACAAGGCGATTCAAAGTGCTTTACAAAAATGAAAGACATTCAGAAACACATTATGGAATGATATTTAAAAACAGTCATTTAAAAGCAAAGATACATGAATAAAAGTTACAGTGCAGTGTGAGACACACACACACACCACACACACACACACACACACACACACACACACACACACACACACACACACACACACACACACACACAAACAGCCCATATGATTTTTCCCTAGCTAGAGTCGCAGTGATATTACTTCAGTCAGACGTTCTCTTCACAGTCGTTCAGCAGAGACACGTTGCCGTGGTTACTTCTCACCTGGGTTGGACAAACGACAGACTGTAACCTCGCTCTTACTCCAATCCTCCTCTCTCTCTTCTTCTTTTTTGGCCGTCACAGATCACGGCCCCCAGAGTGCGGCGGACGGGGGGGCAGCGGGGCGCGGCGGAGCTTCCCCCGCCGCCCCCCCCCCAGGACGTTCTCAGAGCCGGAGAGCAGATGCAGTTCAGGTCCGCAGAGAAACTCTTCCTCGTCCACTTCTTCGACAGCAAGCGCAGCTGGTGAGGAGCCCACTTTACTACTTTCGACTTTCACTTTACTGTAACAGAGTATTCCTACTTTCTGGTACTTCTACTTTTACTCAAGTACAAGATCAGAGTACTTCTACTTTTACTCAAGTACAAGATCTGAGTACTTCTACTTTTACTCAAGTACAAGATCTGAGTACTTCTACTTTTACTCAAGAACAAGATCTGAGTATTTCTACTTTTACTCAAGAACAAGATCTGAGTATTTCTACTTTTACTCAAGTACAAGATCTGAGTACTTCTACTTTTACTCAAGAACAAGATCTGAGTATTTCTACTTTTACTCAAGTACAAGATCTGAGTACTTCTACTTTTACTCAAGAACAAGATCTGAGTATTTCTACTTTTACTCAAGTACAAGATCTGAGTATTTCTACTTTTACTCAAGAACAAGATCTGAGTATTTCTACTTTTACTCAAGTACAAGATCTGAGTACTTCTACTTTTACTCAAGTACAAGATCTGAGTACTTCTACTTTTACTCAAGTACAAGATCTGAGTACTTCTACTTTTATTCAAGTACAAGATCTGAGTATTTCTAATTTTACTCAAGTACAAGATCTGAGTACTTCTACTTTTACTCAAGTACAAGATCTGAGTACTTCTACTTTTACTCAAGTACAAGATCTGAGTACTTCTCCCACCTCTTCATCACACTGACCTCTCGTCTCCTCCTCTCGTCTCCTCTCTCCTCAGGCAATGGCTTCCTAGATCCAAGATGGCTCCCTTTGGGGTCGACCGGACCCTCGACAGAGCCAAGCTGACGGAGGCTCGCTGCTCCAGAGGCCGGAAAGCTGTGCGCCTCGCCTTCGATCGAGCTGTGACCCACCTGAATCGTGTCAGCGGACTGAACCCCCCCCCAAAACAAACCCCCCCATAAAACCTCCCATCAGCCATCTCTCCTCTCTCAGCTTTCATTCTGAACACCTTCACAGCGGACACTCAAGCTTCCGCCTCATACGCACAGACACATGTTTACCATTTCCTGCAAAACTGGATCATTTTCATGTCGTTCATGTCCCCCCCTCGCCCCCCCCCCTCCGTCTGAACTGTAGCTTGTGACGTCCATGTTGTTTTGTCAAAGAGCTATGCAAGGACTCGGTTAGCTGGTGCAAATAACAAACAATAAAAAGACTCAAACCTGGGCTGTGAGGACCGAAGAATCACAGGACGTAACCTGTTGAATGTGTCAGACTTGACCTCTGACCTCCTTCAAATGTGCTGCAAGACTGCTGCAACAATCTCACTGCCGCGCGTGTGTGTGTGTGTGTGTGTGTGTGTGTGTGTGTGTGTGTGTGTGTGTGTGTGTGTGTGTGTGTGTGTGTGTGTGTGTGTGTGTGTGTGTGTGTGTGTGTGTGTGTGTGTGTGTGTGTGTGTGTGTGTGGTGTGTGTGTGTGTGTGTGTGTGTGTGTGTGTGTGTGTGTGTGTGTGTGTGTGTGTGTGTGTGTGTGTGTGTGTGTGTGTGTGTGTGTGTGTGTGTGTGTGTGTGTGTGTGTGTGTGTGTGTGGTTGTGTGTGTGTGTGTGTGTGTGTGTGTGTGTGTGTGTGTGTGTGTGTGTGTGTGTGTGTGTGTGTGTGTGTGTGTGTGTGTGTGTGGGGCAGCAGCTCCTGTAAATATCCTGTACAAGGCCTGACACTAATTTATTCACTCCCTCAGTTCTGGTACATTAGGGTTCAGATGTGAACCCGGTCGGAGGAGACGACCCTGACGGTGTTTCTGCTGGTGCTATCTCTAACGCAGAGAAAACAAACATGCATACTGTACGGAACATTTTTATTTCAGCTCCTTTTTTACGGTTTTTGTAACTTATTGAGTTCTCAAGCTTCTTTGGCATTAACTGTTTTCGTGTGTGTTTTTTTTTTACATGAATGTTTTTACTGGACTACTTTTTTTCCCTCGTTTGTACATATTTATATAAAATCTATATAGATGCTCTCAAAGTCTAAAATGCCTAAAGTGCATCATTCACACCGAAACCAAAAAAAGATCCTCTGCTGCCCACTAAGTTTCCCACTAATGTGTTTTTTTTTACCGCTGATTATTTCTTGTTTGTGTGCCGTGATGATTTAAAGCTCACAGAATCATTTTGCCACCCGGACTGAGCTACAGGCGGCTGTAGGAGAGAAGAGAATGTGCCTGTACTAATTTATTGTAAAGCAGAAAATGTATATGCATTACTTTATAGAGAGAGTATTGTAAGAGAATACTACGGGCACACGAGGAGCCACACGTCGAGGCCCCTCGTCTTCTTCTGTTGTTTATTTTTGGGGATTAATAGCATTAAATCTGAATGGTGAGGTGATAGTGTTTGATGTTTTATTTTGGCAGGTTAGCGATGGGTAGACTTCCTGTTTTTTGTTTTTGTTGCCCTCTGGATGTGGATGTTGTGTGTGTAAATAGATTTGGTACTTTAGCTGATTCTCTGGGAAAAACCACAGTTATTATAGCCAACAGGACGGAGACCAGCCGACAGCAGGCCGGTGGGATTTTTATACTAAAACACTGAAAAATTAAAATATGTTATGAATCACTGATTGCACGTGTCCTGGTTTTATTCCATTGAATTACACTCTCATATAATTGTGAAAAAAAACATGTTTTATTTTTGTTAAAATTACTGAAACGTTTTCAGTTTGTCCATCCATCCATCTTCCATCCATCCATCTTCCATCCATCCATCTTCCATCCATCTTCCATCCATCCATCTTCCATCCATCCATCCATCTTCCATCCATCTTCCATCCATCCATCTTTCTTCCATCCATCTTCCATCCATCCATCTTCCATCCATCCGTCTTCCATCCATCCATCCATCCATCTTCTCCCGCTTATCCGTGGTCGGGTCGCGGGGGTAGCAGTTCCAGCAGAGAGCCCCAAACTTTCTTTTCCCTGGCGACATCAACCAGCTCTGCCTGGGGGATCCCAAGGCGCTCCCAGGCCAGCGAAGAGATATAATCCCTCCACCTGGTCCTAGGTCTACCCCTTGGTCTCTTCCCAGCTGGACGTGCCTGGAACACCTCCCTAGGGAGGCGCCCAGGTGGCATCCTAACTAGGTGCCCGAACCACCTCAACTGGCTCCTTTCGACGCGAAGGAGGAGCGGCTCAACTCCGAGTCCCTCCCTGATGACTGAACTTCTCACCTTATCCCTAAGGGAGACACCAGACACCCTGCGGAGAAAACCCATCTCGGCCGCTTGTATTCAGTTTTTATTTCTGCATATTTTAATAGTTATAATGTGACATTGTCTTAGATGTTTTTTCAATAATCTTTTCATTAATTATTATACATTTTAAGGTGAATTTTCCTTAATATATTTTTTCAATGGATTTTTTTAATTTGTATTCTGGATTTATTTTTAATTAATTTGTACTATTTAAATGTTTCGTAATTTTAATAACACTTGTTTTTCAGTTTATCATATTTTAACTTGCTTTACATTAAATGCACAGGTATACCTATAACATGCTTTGTGGCACATTTTGTCGAACAATTTAAGGGCTAGACTTAATACAAATACAAATTTAATTATTATTCGTTTATTATAACTAAAGATTTTAGGGGAATTTTCTTTAATATTTTATTTCCATTAATTCTTTTGTTTCCTTATTTTCCCCTTAAATAATCTTGTTAATGATCAATAATCATTCATTAGATTTCATTGAAACACGTTGGTAATTTTAATCTGGTTAAAATATATGAAAATAGTTAGATTTTAACTTTATAACACACTTAAGTACTTGAAACAAATCCTGCCCAGCAACAACAACGAAAAAACCCTCTAAAATGAAATACTAAAAAGACATTGGAGGATTTAGGAAGGTCTGGGCTCCAAATAAGTATAAATAATGAACGACAAATATAGATTACAGTGACAATTTTACTTGAATTGCAAAATAGAGGTAAAACCACAATGAACTGAAACAGCTGACCCTCATACATCCAGCTGAACACCAGGTGGCGCTGTTGTTCTGTCTGTGAAACAGCTGATGATGCAGAAATGAAGAGAAAACACTGCAGTCACAAAATAAAACGTGCTCATTGTGATTTGAAGACGAAAACAGAACAACATGATCCAAATCAGGTATCCACATCTGACATTGCACGATATTATCATGTGTCTTATTTGCATATTAATACTTTTTTAAATACCACTATTTTCGTAACACGTCCTCTTAAAGGTGGGGTAGGTCATTTTGGAGAAACCAGCTCGAGTGCGCTAGAATTAGAAAATACACAACCGGAAGAAATCTGCCCCTTCCTTACAGAGCCCCTCCTCCAACACACAGGAACGCGCACATGACCAATGAGGGCACGAGATAAGTTTGTGCCCAGATGGAAGGCTGACAGGCAGGTAGGCCATCCAGTTACTTTAGCCGGGCCGGCTTCCACTGATGACATTTTGTTATGTATTTATTGTCAAAGAATGTAATATATTCATTGCTATCGGGATGTTAAGAGCATTCCATGGAATATAATAACAAGTGTTTCTCGAGCCGGTTTCTCAAACTTACCTACCCCGCCTTTAAGAGACACAATTATGTATTTTTCTCTGGAGCAACTAGACTGTAGCAGAAATGAATGGCACATATAATAAAATACAATATACTTATTGTATTTAACTTGGTTTAACCTTTCAACTTTGCATTATATCATCACATTCCTGTGAACATTGTATCTTTGGAGGTTATGTTTCCCATCACTGGAGGTTCTTTAAGGATAACACTTGTCCTCAAGATGAACCAACTTGTTATGCTCACATAAAAGCAGTGGATGGAAGTGCACATTTACTCGTATTTTATTTGCTGATCTTCTGCTACAAAAAAAAGTAGGAGAAATGATGTAAGATTATTGTTTGATGCACGTACACTATTGTTACACACAAGCTATTCCATGATTTCTGCTACAAAAGAACGTTTAAAGGGGCCCCATCATGCTCATGTTCAGGTTCATATGTGTATTTAGTGTCTCTACTGTGACATGTCTCCATGCTTTAATGTTCAAAAAGGTCAGTCTAGCCAATAGAAGTGTGAGTGTTACTTAGTGATGTGTTCATGGAGTCCAATGGAAGCGTTTAAACCACATAAGAAATACATCTTATTACGTATTAAACTGTTTTAAACGTGTTAATTATGTAACATTTTGGAGGCAATGTTTAGTTTCTTAGCTGAATGTATTGCTTCATACCAGGGGTGTCAAAATAAAAAAATGGGTACAAGTCGAGGGCCGGACTGGTTCAATGTTTATTGCAGAACTTATTGAAATGAACTTATTGCACATATTAAACCTGGAACTAACAAAGCTTAAATTATTGCCTATAAAAACAACATTAAACATTAAATAATCAGCTGCATTCATTTCTTATGGCTCTATCTGCAGCTTTTCCTGAGTCATTTCTTATGAGTACATTTTCCCACAGGCCAACAACAGCTTCAACAAAACTATTCCCCTCAAAGAGAAAACCAAACATGCCCTGTTGTCCTGAGAGAAAGTGCAGAAGGAAACATTAAACTCAGTGCTGCTCTGTGATGCTAGTTCAGATACTTGGCATCTCATCTCGGGTGCAAGGTCATCAATGTTTGGGCTCAGGCTCTGAGCTGAGGAGACCCTCAGGATGGAGTGAAGGTGTGCGTGCAATATACCGGCGGGCCAGATCTAATAGTAATTAGAAATTATTCTGCGGGCCGAAATTAAATCCACCAAGGGCCTGATTTGGCCCCCGGGCCTCGAGTTTGACACATGTGCTTTATACAGAGAGGAATTTCTGTTATCTGGTGAGAATATGGTGCACAAATGAAATGAAACACCTTTATTCCAAAACATGTTTAAACAGAGTTATCACGATCTGACTGCTGAATTCTCAAGTGTTTGTATTTTTTTCAAGAGGACAGACTGTTCCGCTGGTATTTGCTGCATTTATAGTGTGTGCATAGAAAAAGTGTTTATTTATGAGCTGGACACTGTTAATTACCCCTGCTTGCTCAGCTAATTATCCCCAACTTCAAAGTCATGTTAACCCCCAGAGACCCAGAGAGCCCGTATGAGACGACGAGCTCAGCACGCCCTGAAATATCTGCTAATTGGAAGAAAATGTCGAGTCATTAGCAAATTATTCACAAGATGCATGACCGAGAAAAACTGGACCCAACGCAGCTTTAAAGGCCGCATTAGGCTTTTTGGGTGTTCCCATTCCTTTATGGGGTTATATGGGGTTTTCTGCATGTAAATGGTCTGCAAAGGCTACAATTCTGATTTTCTCAAAACAATTCTGACTTTTTTATTAAAATCTAAAAATTCTGACTTTTTTATTAAAATCTAAAAATTCTGACTTTTTTCTGAAAATCATTATTTTTTTA